GCCAATTGGACTGCGGTAACAGTCTACTATGCATGCCTCCAACTCTGCCCCCCGGACCATGGCGGATTCAGAGCAACCCAGCACCAGAGTGTCCAACAATGACGTTCCTGATCATTCAGTTCATATCCGCTCTCGATCAACTGCCCACACCCAGAGTCCAAAACGTCTGTCGGTCTTCAGTGGCCGTTCCAGGAGCAATACAACTACTTCCACCACATCATCACGCCGCTCCCCCGCCTCCTCCATGACATCTATGGATGCTGCTTCCCTGCCCTCATCTCAAGATGAACGGACTAGTTCGGCCGGTGTCCGCTCGGAGCGACAGGAGAGTATGACCAAATCGCTTTTCTCGCGTGGGAGTCGTATCCTCCGTCGCCAGGGAAGTAAATTCAACATCGTTGCCACGCTGGATGAAGAGGATGAAATGGAGCGTGAGAAATCCCGGTTTGAGGTCTCAGACCTCTTCAGCCGTCACCACAGGTCGCGGCAGAGCGATGCTCGTAAGCGCACCTTTACGCGAATGGCATAATCTGGTGCTCATAACTAATATGTTGCAGATGAACAATTGAAAACCCTTATCTCGGATCCCTTTGACTTCCACCACCTAACTCATACGAGTCCATCGCATTTCCAGGCAATGGACAGGGCCCGGGAAAATGACCTAGTCACTGAATTCTCCGCCATCCGTGCCTCTCAGAGACCTATCACAGGACTTAAGGGTATCCGCGCGGAAGATCTTCATTTCCGTGACTTCTCGTCTGAGAACCTCGCCAATTGTGTGGCAGGTATTGCAAGGGACCAAGATGTTCCCACTCCGATTAGCCCTCCTGGGTCGCCAGGAACATCGTCATCAGCAACGAGCCCCAAGCAGCAAGATGATAGGCTAAGAAGGGAGTCACGAGTCTGTGAGAACTTTTCTCGGCCGTATCCCAGAGCCGGTGCAATTACGCCGCCCGGGTTGGCGGCATCTCCAGAAATATCTGAACCAGCTCCTCGTGCCATTGATGAGATATTGGGTCTGTCGTCCCCATCAACATACCCAGAACATGTCTTCTCAAACGGCGATGACGAAGCCCAAGAAGGCCGCTTACTCCATATGAATGTTGAAAGCATCTTCCCACCGAGCATTGGGCAGGCCATCGTTCCCGACGCTCAAAAAGACACGATTGATTTCAGAACTTCGTCCATGTCATTCACCAACATATCCTCAGATCTTGATGTCCTTCCAGAAGAAGAGGAGGCTACCAATTCAAGGGAAACTTTGGCGTTTGGTATAGAGAAAACCAAGTCGTGCTCCCAGTCTCGGCTAAGCTCACCTCCAACTGAACTGCAGAGCACCTCTGGAGTCAGGCCTAAGTCTAATCTAACCGTATACGTGAGCGAAGAATTGTCGAAGAAGGTTTCTGAGGCTCTTGGCTCTCCTACGCTCCCTCAATATCGTCAGCCCGAGGCATCGCCACACGACCAAAAACTGGGTGGAACGGTAAGGAGAACAGCATCCATCCGTCGAAGAGCAACATATGAAACCATCTATGAATCTTGGGATGCCGATATTGACTACTGCTACGAGCATGCAGCAGAGTCGAATTGTAACTTCGACTGGGCTCGTAATTCGTTTGATGAACCACAACAGGACGCAGTTGACGTTTCCATCGCGGGTTCCCAGGTCGATCTGGTGAATGGGGCCAACAAAATTCACCTGCTCCCGGCTGCACATTTGAGTACGTCCACAGTTCCTGGATTGGATCTGGAGCCCAGTCCGCCTCGTTTGTTTCCTAGCGCGCAGGTTTCCTTAACCCCGTCCACCACAAGTTACGAAATTGAGGAAGGCGGCTCTCGGCGGAATAACGATTATTACCAACCAGTCAGCTCTTCAATGTTTCCATCGACCCTAGGAAAGCACTTGACCCATGATGTCTTATATGAGGAGTACCTGGCAGGTGATGCTGAATCAGATCGGCACTTCTCCTTCTGCTCACAGGGAGTGATCCAACCCATGGAACAGCCTGTCTCTCCCCGGAGTAGTTTCTCTCCGATCAGCAAATGCAACTCTGAAGAGAGCCTAATCTTATCCCGTGCGGCATCAATCGTCCGCAAGCATCGCTCTTCCGTCTCGACCACTAGTGTTCCAGAGCTTGTGCACAGCTTGGCAAATAGCCGGGAGTTGTCCGCGACGGACCAAACCGCCTCAAGTGATCACTCTCTGCCCTCCGGGCCTGGACAACCAGAGTCGTCTTCTTACCATCGTCAAACGAAAAGCCTAGCAAGAGAGATTGAGACTCAGGTTGCTTTTCGAGCTGATGGCAGTGTGATTCTTGAATCTGCTGGGATCATACCAAATCCGGGCCCTACTATTCTTGATCGGGCAAGATCCATATCTGAACTAGAGGCGACCAAGGCTGAAGTCCCTATCAGAGGAACGCATCGGCGAAAGGGTAGAGCATCGTACTCGCTCTTTCCATCTTCCGCAACTTCAGCTAACGTGCTGTAGTTGCACCATTACCTAGTCCCGAAGTGTAACCTGGACATGATATTCTTTTCTTTCACCTTGCTCTCCGTCACACTTCCATACAAATCACCGATAGACTTCTTCAACGACGTGATGACTTTTCACTTGTTCTTTCTGCAATTTTTCCTTCTTCGTCGTTATTCCTTTCAATATGTCCTTCTGCAATTGTTAGCCATTCTATACTCATTCTTTTCTCATCTGCGATTTATTCAATATTTTCGTTTTGCATTCTGAGCGGCTACTTTTTCCACAGGAACAAAAATCTCTGGAAGGTGTTTTTCTGGTATGAAGAATTGGGAAAAGGCTGCGAATGGGTTTTGGTTGCATAGCACTCGCTCGCAAGTTCTTTACTTTGTATTTGGGTATTTGCAGACATTGTGCCTTCTCTGCATTTCCTTGTTGCTTGGAAAGTTCATCTTTTGGTAAATACGGATTGGTCTCGTTATAACAAGTATACATATAGAGGAGGATGGTTTACTGGGCTGCTCTGCGGGTTTTCTGGCCGGATTTTGGTGGACAGTGAAAAAGCGAAAGCGTCATCGACTAAATATTGTATATTCAAGAAGAAATTCGTGTACCTGTTTCAATAGGATACTATATGTCATATCCAAAAATTTACTTGACCAGATAAAGGAACCCTGAGGATTACCTAGAGACCAGAGTGCTGATTCATAAAATGTCGTCACTTGCTTATCAATGCTCACCGCCTCACCCTCATTTCTGCCGCTCTTTCTCTGTTCTATATTGTTCATGTACACATCCATCCACCCATCTAGTATCGTGCTCTTAACAGGTTTCTTCAACTGACCGAAATCATATTTCTTTGGGTTGCTCTTTCTGGGCTCTCGGTTACCCTCGCCGTAATGTCTTCCTCGTCGCAAGCTTTGGCTAAGCGCCATATCGAAACCAGTCTAATGCCCCCTCCCCCCCCGAAACGCATCAAACGACCTACTACTGTCCTCGATGAAGACGTCTATACGAATACCTTATCTGGCATCATTGCGCGAGATTACTTCCCGGGGCTTCTGGAGATGCAAGTGAAGCAAGAGTACCTCGAAGCACTCGACTCGAGGGACGAAGAATGGATTGCCACGTCCAAGAGAAGACTTACCGACCTGATGTTGACTCCAGAAAGAGCTCGGAACCGTTCTGAACCGTCGGATCCCGTAATAACAACCAACCGTACAGAAATAAGGCATGTAGGGGATACTCCTACGGGTTGGGGTGGGGATACGCCAATGTCAGTCATGTCCATGGCCTCTTCATCACCGGCCCAGCATTTAAAAGATAATCATTCTTCCAACCTGTCCAATCTCGGGCTGCTCGAGTTCCAGGCGAAATATACCAGTGAAGATAACGAATCCTTCAACAAGCTGCTAGATAAGCAGAATACGAAACGTCGTGAAAAATATGCATGGATTTGGAGCGGCAACAAGATCCCGTCCGCGCGACAGATTGCCCATCATCAAAGGGAAGCAAAACGGGTCGAGGAACAGGGTCTCAACCCTTATCAGGACAAGCAATTAGCCACTAAGAAGGACTTTGATTCTCGGCCCGCGAAACCGGACTCATGGAAGGCCAGATCGGAGAATTCTCTCATGTTCACGCCCTCGTCTGTTGAAGACACTCTTGAGACACTCCAGCAAAAAGCAGAAGCATCCTCACGAGCAGGGCCCAAGCGAGTGGTGTATCAGAATACCCGATTACCAGATGAGGGATTGAAATCTACACAAGATGGAGGCGCGCTTCCTCCCTCTCCATCAATTTCAGCTATTAAAGACGCTATTGCCGGACGCCCCCGCCCCAGTGATTCAGAAGCGGGCTATAGTGGGAGTGAGACGCCACGAGTGAATGGATACGCCTTCGTGGATGAAGATGAACCAGATTACCCAACAAATAACTTGTCGAAAGACAGCCATGCGGGCTTTTTAGAGGACCTTCGGTTGTTGGGGACAAGTGATAAAACCCCGAATCCGTTTAAAATCAGGGAGAACAGAAGGCGCGAGGATCTCCACCATCGTGTAGTAGACCGCGTTGCGAGAAAGAAAAGAGCGGAGAAAGTTGCGCAAGAGACTAAATCCCCGGTTACCATGACGCCGCGGTTCGCCAGTAGCCCCCGGCTAGACTTTGGATTACGCATGCCTGGCAGAGCAACAGTGGGAAGGAGTGGGTCAAGCAAGTTGTTGACTCCAGCGGCACAAAAACTATTACATCGTATGGGGAACACTCCTCGGCCGACAGAGTCATCCTCATCGAATCTGAAGAATGTGTGGACTCCGACTCCACGGAGAGCCAAATAGATACGAATTCCCTTACATATGATCTTTGATTAATGGCGCTTCAATAGATACCATGGTGGGCCCGGCGTTGTTTCCTGCTCCTATACTGCTTAAGTCGTGAGAAGATATTCTACTTAATGATGTTTAGGTACCCTTAACCTAAAATGCTGTTTTCTTCGTACCCTATCTATAAACGCTTCTAGTTATCGTCCGAGTTATCTGCTGTCTTTCCTGGCCTGAAGATACCATGTCTAGTTAAATATAGACAGTGTGACACGCCGAAGGAAACAGCTGTAAACAGAAAGAATTATATTGGCCAAGGGATCTGGTTACACGAACATATGGCGTGACACTAACAAGTGACTGAACAGAATTGACCAAATGACGAAGTTCCGATTGAGAAAGATTGGTGATGACCCACGCTATACATACATAGCACTAGTTCGCTACCCGTCAAATGCCCAGTACAAAAGCCAAACAGTTGGAAGTGCAAATAAAACCGACCGCAAAGGAATCATCTTAACTCCACCACCCATGAAGTACGCTGCGCCTACCCAATTGCAGGTGACAAGATCGTCGGGACCGCGTTTGCCGTACGTAGAAGAGAGCCATCTGCCTGCGGACAGCGAAAGTCCAGAGCAGCGGGACAACTCTTGACGAGATCGTAGCAGGTGTCCTCGCAGGGAAGAATCTCCTTGTACGGTCCTGGCCGGATCTCTTTGTCGATCAGCAAATTTCGGGACCGATTCGTCGAGGGATCCAACCGCAGTGTGTGGTCATCACTGAGCGAGGTTCCGTTGATGAATTTCTGTCCAGCGTTTCTGGCCTGGAGAAATGTGCCAGTGCTTGAAAAGTCTTCGCACCGAGGGATGGTTACGGCGCATAGCCACTGTTTGTATGCTCGGGCACAGTCATCGCATCCCACTGCCAAAGAAAATCGAGTCTCATTTGTAGCATTACATTGGATCTGCTCCAAAGAGTAAGAAAAGTTCTTATACAGTGCAGCGGCATTATCATCGTAGATTGAACGGAGGCTGTCCAAGGTAAAAGTCGGGTTCGAAGGCACCGCATATGCCACTTCATTGCAAAATGACAGGTTGTAGAGGAGTGCACAATTGCCATCTTTCTCTGTCAGTAACCTTAACTGGAACACCCCCGAATATGCCGAAAGGAGATTAATTACCTGCTTTGGTTGAGAAGGTGATTGGTTTCCATATTTTCCCACCGCCGCCAATAACACCGTTTCTAGAACCAGTAGAATTGCCATCCAGGGCTAAAATCCCTTCATATGTCGAACTTTGGTTGAGCCCGGTGACATATAACTGCTCCTTGGGTTTATTGCCGGGGCCTCTGCTCGTCATGCTTGCGTTGATGTTACGATCACCTTTGCCTATTTGAGCGAATCGATCGAGCGCACAGGAGGAATGGTGTAAGCCTGAGATGGCTGTATCGTTAATGTTATTCGCAAACATTGTGTACGACGGTGCCATGCCCATCCAGTTGCTGTAGCTCTGAGAGTCCTGTTCTGCCTCCGTTAGATTGCCCGTGGTGAAGAGAGCACTGTGCATATCCGAATCCACGAAGTACAGGAAAGCCGGATCATCCGCGAGGCTGTGGAAAAAAGCATCAACTGATGCCGCAAGCTCATAGCTGTAGGACCCAGAATGTTCAGTGCTGTTATGTGCAACAACACCGATATAAACATCCCCTTCTGCTTCCACGGTGGTGCCCATATAACCCTCTTCGACCAGGTATTTAGTTTGATTCGACCTCTCTTGCCCAGGACCAGGCTTTTGGAGCGATTCAGATGCAGAGATGTAGACCTCTAGATGCGGCAGGTTCTGAGCACTGTCAGAATCGGCTTTATTGGAGCTAGGCTTCGAACATGCCGTTAGAGATATGAAGACCGTTTCCAAATGCTTCGAGTTGTCGCTAGTTGGTTCTTCGGATATCTTATTGGTATTTTTGCCATTTACAGAATTTTTTGAGAAGTACCACCACTGGGTTTCACCTAATTTAACTTCGCCCTTTTGGTATTGATTATTGTCTAGGGATGAGACCCCAGTAGGGGCCCTGCGGACAATATCTAGACCTCGTAGATCCCCAGCGTCGTTCACATCGTCTTCAATCACTAGACCATTGTAAGGCCCCAATGGGAATGGGAAATGTGAGTCACCGTCGTTGATGGTCAAGTTACTATGGATTTCAGGGGCCAGAGAAGTGAGATCTGCGGCATAGCCTAAATCTGTGGTCCAAAGAGCCAGAGAGACTATGTAGTAATAAATAATTGCGCTGATGCGTGGAGCAAAACAGCACAACCAAGGTGCGGGCTTAGGTCGCATGGACAGTTCAGTAGATATTCGGCTCCGGGTCGGGTAATATAAAAGGACGAAGAGAAAGAGGAGTCAAGGAAGGCTTAATAACGACGAGACGACGACTTCCTCTCACACCCGAGGTTTGCCGAGTCGTAAGCGAAAATTAGGCAAGGTGGCAGGGGAAAATGTCATCCACGAACAAAGTCAAGCTCATTCGGAAGCTAGACTTTATTTACAGAGTACTTGCGCTTGACAGCGTTGGACTCATTCTGGCTTTCAGTATGTATGGAGGCCTTCTTCTGCCTGCGGCCTCCGAGTAGCTGGCCTGCGCCACATCAGCCAGTCAGCCACAGCAGCCACCTTCGGGGTTCCTGAAAAGCTACGGACATTTTTATAATATTTCCCAAGAATTTGTCATGGGTATGTAATGAATTCAGAAGTCTATATACGCATGCGAATACTCTTTTTTGACAGCCCATAGGTTTCTGAATAGGCAAAGCCAAACTTTAACCTTATACAAGTTTATAGCAGCGAGCAGCAATGCCGCTGATAATGACTACCGCCGCGATAACACCGACGATGCCAAAGAACCACGCAAGGCCTTCCTGGCCCTGACCCGGGACCGTGACGTTCATGCCGAAAAGACCACAAATAAGGTTCATGGGAACTAACATAGTGGCAATGAGGGTCACCTTGCTGAGGATCTTGTTGACGTGGTTTCCCAACACCAGGTTTGTCACGTTCAGCTGCGCAAGATAGTTGGTGTGTGACCTGCTGAGCATCTTCTCGAAATGGGCCAAGTTAGACATCATGGTCACTACGTGATCCTGGATGTCTCCTAGGTAAAGGCCAATGTCACCACGCGGCGTCACTGAATACTGCTCGTTGCAGCGTTTAGAGAAACCTCGAATAACATCCGCCTTGCCACCCAAAAGACGCATCAAGCTCATGACCTTTTTGCGCAAGCCACCAATTCGTGGCAAGAATGACTCGAAATCATCCATGCGTGCGATGAAGACGAGATCTTCAATCGCCTCGGACTCGACCTCAATTTCGCGGATTACAGGGCCAAAACTATCCACAATATCGTCACTGCGCCATACATTAGGATTTCACATACAGGTAGCTAGATGGCCATAAGGTAACATGCATGGGCTTAATAGGAAGGAAAGGCAGATCAAGGGTGTGCTTACATCATGGCATAGCAAATCCAGTCACTACTAAGTGACACATAGTCACGGAGCTTTCCGATTCTTCTCCGGACATTCGAAGCATGGGGATTCTCGGTGAAAGAGAACGATAACACACCATCGCGGAAGACAATCATGTAGAAGTTAACGGGCTCCATGAAGCGCTCGCTTGTCTTATCCATCTGATAAAACGTCCGGAAGCACACAAAATAGTATTGCTTGAATAGCTCAACTTTCTCTCGAGCCTCCTGGGTTAATATATCTTCTGTCGTCAGTGGGTGAATTGAAAAGGCTCTCGAAAGAGCACCAACTTCGGCTTCAGTGGGATTCAAAACATCGAGCCACCAAACACCTCCTTCCGGGCCAAGTTGGAAGAGGTCTCGAAAGGTGTCCCCAGGGAGGACCAAGTCGCCCAGTTCTGCAGCATGTACGGTACTCTGTGACTCGGACGAGAAGAAGCCGAACCGAGTCGGCTCATTCTCATTCTTGAGATTCTCGACTATTTCTTTTTCGTTGACAGTATCCGCGAAGACTTTCTCGCTGTCTTTTAATTCAAGTCCGGTAAAGTCATCCGATGAGCGCTTCGCATCGTGGACTTCGGAATTCTGAGCATTTGGGCGAAGATCATAGAAAACACGAGACTTCTTGCTCTGAGAGCTAAGGCTGTGCTTGCGCCGCATTGTAACGGGCTTTGTCTTCTGATTAAGAGCCACAAACTCTTCCAATTCTTCATAGTCAATCACCGGAATTCTGCCCAGTTGTTCAAATGGGGGGATGCATGGATCCTCAGGCGAATCTAATTGGATATCGCCAGGTTGAGGTCTAATGGCACTTGCATTACTGAAAGTTGGGCGGCGAGGATGTGTGCCACCAGAGACCGTACGCTGTAGGATAGCTTCCAAGTCTGGCGCTGCATGGCTCTCCAGAGTGTTGGCACGCTCCCGGCGCCGTGGGTCTGCAAAGGCTTCGACCGAATTGGGCGGAGAAGTTGATCGAGCAGAAATTGACGAATCCCTCGACATGTTTGCAATATCCTTATGCGTACGGCTGAATGTGCGAGCCTGGCGGATATTACCGGTTGGATCAAGGGAGAAGCGTCGTCCCAGACCATTGACGTCCTGATCATCGTCCGCTATTGCTTGCTCAAAGTCCCGGGAAAATGGCCCCGCTTCTCGAAGAGCATCCTGGACTTGGAGCAGATCTGAACGCTGTGGCGTCTCCATATTCAAATTCTGCGGTGTGGTATTCTGCCGACTAAGCGTCATATCGGGGGTAGCTTCGATACGGGGTGGATCCAATTGAAACCGATGGTCATCCAGTTCACGCACTGGCGTACTAAACCTGCTTAAAAACATATACTTTTCCGACTTGGGTGATTCGGACATTTTTTGTGACGCTGGCCTTCAACCAGAATATACACCAGGCTTACCAATTCAAAGCGAGGCAATCTGCGGAGACAACAAAGGCGTTTTCGCGCTAAATGCCTCAACTATTATCAATGCCTTCCAATAAGGCGCAGGCAGATGTACAAGTCCCAGGGGCGATTGCTCCTCCATCCATCAGCCAGACCCCTCGCAAGGGCCTGGCATTACCGACGCGCGTCCGTGTGCCAGCTTCAAACTCGCTGGAAAAGACCGGTTATGGGGGTCTGGTGTCGCCCCCGCAGAAGACCCTGAACTTGGGGCCCAGAAGAGGGTGGAGGAAAGAGGACTGATGGTAGTGAATGCCCGCCAACTTGACTGAGTGGTGCGAAGAGGAGCGCTGCCGCTCCAGAGTTGCAGGGAAGTGGTGAGTTGACGGGGTATACTCTTAACAAGAGTCCTTCAATTCACCGCAAGACTTCCTATCAATGAATTCGACAACACCAGAGACTCCAGGGTGATTGCAGGTCTTGAAGGAGTCTATACACCAACAATGAGAAAAAAAATAATAATAAGATAAAAACACACAAGGGGTCCAAAGAAAGAGATCCAAATGTAGGGAACCAGGAAAGTTTCAAGATCTGATGTTCTGGAATTTGGTGCAGATGGGCTGATGTGTTCAGAGATGAGTGGCGGGGATCCTCACCAACTCTAAGATGGAGACCAAACTCTGATGTCGCAAATGATATGTTGTTCCCACAAAAAGATATACACGGATACCGACGGGAGGCCCAACAACAATGTGTCAGGCGATGGATGACAGATCACGCGGAAGAAAAGAGAGGTGAAAGGGGGAAAGAGGATGAAAACCAGTAGTTGGTCACCTACAGAGGTGAGTCGAGATGAGTTGTCTCAGAGACGACAGCGGAAAGGGAACTTGCCGTCTTTAAAAAGAAAACTGAAGCAGAAAAAAAAAGAAAAAGAAGAAGAAGAAAAGAAAAGAAAAGAAAAAGAAAAAGAAGAGGGGCGCGGGTAGAAATTTCCGCTTGGGGGTAAAAGTCCAGAGCCACCGGACTCAGTACGAGGATGTACTACCGTCTCTGACTGGGCCGCATCGGCCACCTTCCGCCTGGATTATCTACGATGTACTAAGTTTGAAGTGATGGTCCAATCCAAGGTAACTATCATTTCGTACTCTTCAGTGAAGATAGTGTCGTCAACTAGTATCAAATGTAATTGGAAAATTCAGAGACTGTTATCTAATGGGACTTCTATCGTCGATTATTGTAATAGATTGTACTGTGTACAAGGGATTTTTGATTAATACCAGCTCCATATTTAGGCAGCACCCATACCCTGTGCTGAAGTTTCGATATTGAAATGAGCATTTCCAGCGTGTGCGTCTTGAAGATTATTTGTTTAGGGTTTGAAATGAGTGTAGATATCATTCGATTGGTGTACCGTTGTCCTGCATGACATGCAGCTCATGGGATGGATCGTTGAGTATTGAATATCGGTCAGCTCTGATTGGAATCTACTGTGTTGGTCAGGATACATAATCTAGATCTAGTCCGAAGGGGTATAGTTGTATAGCTTAGCTCTATGCCCAACGGGTGTACTAATCGACAGCTCCGAGCCTTACGGATGCCCCCTCCTTCTATTGTCCCGAAATCGGCGAATAAATATTTTTTTCCTTGAGCAATGCCAAGAAAGCGACTGAAAGAGTCATACTCCCCACCAGTGGCAGATATCATTCCAATTACATACCCATCTAAATACTCAGAAAAGAACAGTGCTTCGAATAGGGTTGATATGACATATTAGCCCATCTCTTCATTTTGTTAAATAAATCTTTTACGGTTGATTGAATTGAGTGTGCAAAAGCCCTTCGTCCAGCCAAGTGGAGGAAAGGAAAAAGAGAAAGAAAAGAACAGCACAGAACAGAAATAAGTGAGTGGGAGCGTAAGACACACACACACACACACACAGAGAGAGAGAGAGAGAGAGAGATCCTTCACACCTATCTTTCTCCTACCATGGCTTCTTCCTCATTTGTTATCAAAACGCCCTGTTCATCTGCCAATATTGGTCCTGGGTTTGATGTGATCGGCCTGGCATTGTCGCTCCACCTTGAACTCCATGTCACTATTGATTCCGCGAAAGTCTCACAACATCCTCTGAATTGTGTCGTCACGTATGATGATCAAAGCAACAGCACGGAAGAGATCAGCCTGGATCCAGAGGTGAACTTGATCACCCGTGTAGCTCTGTATGTACTTCGATGCCATGATCAGAGAGCGTTTCCCGCGGAGACCCATGTCCATATTGTAAATCCTATTCCTCTGGGTCGGGGTCTCGGTTCGTCTGGTACCGCAGTGGTGGCTGGTGTGATGTTGGGCAACGAAGTAGGCCGCCTTGGATTGAGCAAGGAACGGCTACTAGATTATTGCTTGATGATCGGTAAGTTTGGCCTTTAGCTGAGTAGATGGTCCCTTGTGACTGTCTTGCAAGCCGACTCCTCCATACGAAAAATGGATCGTCTTATTGCCGTTAGCTCCTCGACTGATTGAATTACTCCTCAACAGAGCGGCACCCGGACAATGTCGCTGCTTCTCTCTTTGGAGGCTTCGTCGGAACTTACTTGAACGAACTCAAGCCTGAGGATATAGCCCGCATAGAGATCCCACTGAGTGAAGTTTTACCCGCCCCGGCCGGGGGTATCGATACTGGCATACGGCCTCCGGAGCCTCCACTTGGTATCGGCCACTATAGGAAGTTTCCGTGGGCCAAGGAGATCAAGGCCATTGCAATCATCCCAGATTTTGTGGTGCCCACCGCCAACGCACGAGGTGTCCTACCTACTGCCTATTCAAGAGCCGATGTTGTAAGCTCTTTCTTCCCATTTGGTCGGACGATAGATAAGCTCCTAAGAACTAACGTATCCCCCATAGGTCTTCAACTTGCAGCGCGCTGCCTTACTCCCTGCAGCATTGGGCACGTCTCCTCCCGATCCAGACATGATCTATCTAGCCATGCAAGACAAGGTTCATCAGCCGTATCGGAAGACCCTTATCCCAGGTCTAACAGAAATACTCAAATCCATGAACCCGAGCACGCAACCAGGTCTGCTTGGAATATGTCTATCGGGAGCAGGGCCAACAATCTTAGCTTTGGCTACTGATAGGTTCACTGAGATCGCAGAACGCATCATTGCTAACTTCGCTTCCAATAATATAACCTGCCAATGGAAGCTCCTTGAACCTGCCCAGGATGGGGCTACAGTCCATTATTAACATCATTGCCTACCTTCCATCATATATGCAACCTACATAGGGATAAATAGCGGCGATGAATAAATAATCCGTTACTTTAACCATGGCTACGTTATAAAGTGGGATATCTTCAGAGTGGTTCTTTCCTTCGCCATATTGGTAAGGGGTGGGCGAAATCAACATACATTTTCTTATTTCTTAAACAAAATTTACTTATAGGTAGGGCTCTTAGAGAAGTATAAAGTGAAGTTTAGGCTACGCCATTTTTTTTGCCTTGACTTTTTTGTTTTTTATGTTTTATTTTTATTACAGCCTTACCCCTTTACTGTTAGTGGTTTCTCGCCTTCGTTTGCTGGTTCCTCTTACTAAAACATACTGCCCGCGTCATTGAAACGCACCAAATTGGTGATGCCAGTTTGACACCTTGGCCAAGGCGGTAAAGGCCGAATTGGTTAATCTCCGCCTACTCAGTAGCAGCTCTTTACCAAGGGATTCCAACGGTCATCTTCAACATCCATAGTTATTATTTGTCTTGGTGTTTGCCCTTTTCTATTTTTACCTGTATCCTTTTCTCCAGGGGACAAAAGAAAGAAAGAAAGAAAGCAAGACATCCAAAACAATTCCCAGACACTCTTTCGCCATGGATGATGTTCTTGCATCTGTTCAGGACATCTTCGAAGGCCAGATAGTATGTTTGTCACTACCACCAACCCATTCGTAATAGATGATAACCAGGCAACGTTACATGGATAGGACTTTCACGGCCAGCGCATAGCTGAAATATTGTCTACGGCTCTATTAATTATATCTGGGGTACAGTGCTAGTCAATTTCTGATCATTCTTTCGCCAAATATAGTTTGCATTGATAATTGGTATCATTCGCTTACGCTCGTCGTGTCAAGGTTGTTGCTTTCTTCGCTGGATATATCTACCGGGACATACATCTCACACTCTGGGTCGGCTTGGCAGGTACACTGGTAACTGGACTGGTTGTCATCCCTCCTTGGCCTATGTACAATATGAACCCTGAGAAATGGCTTGTTTCGTCAGCGGGGAATGTCGGTGGCGCACGGATCATGGTAGATGGAACTAAAGTGGCATGAAGTACAAGCAAGATACAGGAGAGATCGACTCGGAAGGTATTGAGCCGGACTATCTATCTCTACACAACTAAGAAGCCGCATTTATCATCATAGTAATCACCGGAAAGGTGTGAAAAACAAACCCGAACGCCAATCCAGACCATTTGTTGCGTATAAAAATGTATGACACCACGTAGGTGGCAGCTTCAGCAATCAGAAGATCCTCTATAGAACTGCGTTTACCGACCATACTTCTGAAATTCCCAGTCTCGGTTATCCAAGGGACAGACCTGGCGAGTTTTCAGCCAACGGGATATGCAGTGGAAATGAAACGCGTGCTAGAAAAGAACACAGTTAGGTCAATATTAAGTTTGTCAAGAAGCTTGGGATATCTGGACGCACGTTGCAAATCCCCCAGGCAACTGTACACTCTTCAGTCGTAGATGAGCCTTGGTTTGCTTGACACTCGATACCTAAAAACACTTAGTTTAGTTTTTAACTTCTGCTGTAGCGAAGGGCAGGGTCATACACAAGTCCATGATATGATTACGGCAAATGGCACAATTATCGACAACGATATCCCACGCCCATAGGGCCACCGCATTCCATTTCTTGACTTCGAACTTCTTTTTGCCATCACTTGCACCTTCGGAAGCCTTAGATGCTCCCTTTCCCTTGGCTGAAGTGCCAGCAGAAGCTTCTTTCATCTCCACATCCGCCATTTTAAATATCCGACTGATTGTCCTAGCTTCCTTGGCCCGTCTGTTGTAATAGAACTGTTGTAAGTGCCTAACAGCTCAGGGCAGGAATGCCTGGAGGGCACGGATGTATGCTGATTACGTAGTAGAGAAATGACTTGTGATAAGCAGATGCTGCGATGAAGACGGCTAGCTGACGTATGTAAGTTGAATGATTCCGAAGGCTAAGTGACATAAATTTTCTTCTTTAAGCCTTGATACGCACCTTATATATTGTTTGAGAAAAGAAAATACCAGATGAGTGAAAGTAAGTTGGTACTTTGAAGTCCTCCTTCTAGACTTTTTGTTTTGTTTGCACCTTAGTTGGGCAGAGCGAGGTTGAGGCGTTGCACTACCTCGCCGCCTAGCCATTAGTCATAACCGATCCCCGCCTTCAATGCCCCAGCCGCCCTCCCAATGTCCATTTTCACCTACCTCATCACATCACAACATCAACGTCCTGGAACAATGCCCCTCTGCTTTTATTCCACTCTCTCTATTATTTGCCTGTCCAGAAACAAGCATGCCTAGGAGTTCCGGCATCCTTCTTTCGTTGTTTATTATTTGATTCCAGTAATAGATGCATTCGCGCCTCTTGAACCGATTTGTTATCATTTAAATACAAATTAGGCTCTTACAGTGCTATCGGCGCTCCATGCCTGATCTTATTGTCCTTATCCACGACCGGCGTTAACGTGATCAGAACAGACTGCTGGGCAGTACTGCAGCCTATTCGACCCTATATATTTTGCGCTGTCAACTATTATCATTTTATTCTTCCTACTTTTTTCCCTTTTTCCTTTCGAGAATACACCATTTCCTTTCCCTCTTGCAAGCTACTCTGACTACCTATCTTTAAGCCAACCAGTCACAATGTCGAATCTGTCGCCAACTCCAACACCAAAAGGCCCTCGGAACAACCGGCGTAACCCAAAACGAAATGCGACACCGACTACACAAAGGGCTACTCTGCTAACGACTCCTCCCTCGTCGCCTCCGAGGAATATGAGCCCAGGAGGAACAGCTACTGATTCCTCTGCCAATCTATCTAAGAAGAAAGGTGCCCGATCTAACAAGAAGCCACGAGATCTATCTAAGGTTTCGCCGGCGCAAAGGACCGGCCACCGCCGCACATCTTCATATTCTAACAATATCACCACGCCTCAGCTAAAAGATAGCCCTCACTATGCCGGCCCGACGTTCCATGCCTCCCCAGCTCCCTCTTCCCTTCCAATCCCAAGCTTTTTCTCGAAGTCAATACCGGATCCCGATCTTGCCCCGGCAATAGAAGCAGATGGCGATAAATACGAAGTTGGGCCGGAATATGAGGCCACGCCCTCAAAGCTGAGGCCACGCCCACAGTTCCAAACTGAAGAACCGCAGCCAACACCCTTGGATTTCCTTTTTAAAGCTGCAGTTGAAGCTAGGAACTCTCAGCCCCAGTGTAGTCCCGAGGCAAGCATCAGGATTCGCTCCCCACACACGGACTCCAAGTCCCTGCCGCAACGCAAGCCCAATTGCTCTACAGAAGGGTCATTGCCATTGGAGGTAGACTATCCGGCGCCTCATAAGTCGCAGATAGGACCCTCATTTGCTGCATCCTACAAAGATCGCATGAATGCATTGCGATCTGCCAGTCCTCCCTCTCACTCTGTGGTAGAACTTGATGAGGAGCAGCGAAGAGCCAAAACCGAGGCCTTGAAGGATTTGTTACTCAACCCACGTCCCCAGAGGCCCTCGTATGTGTCAAAATCATCCTCTAGTCAAACCAACGGTGTCAACGAGCAGCCTACCCCCATTGGCAATGTGCCTCATGTTGCGACTGCACTCAGGACAGCCTCTGGCCCGTCAGCAGCTCTTTATAGCAACGTGATGCCCGGGCAGAATCAATCAACGGACGGGAACGGATGGCAATCGTCATTTTCCAATTCATACACTATCAACTCTCAGCCCTCACAGGGTCAAACCTCGACCTCCAAGAAAGGAGCTCTTTCATCAATCCCAGGGAACATGGGAAACGTCTCAGGAGTAACATCTTCTTCTCCAGTGTACGCTCAGACTAAATTCGCCATCAATCCTATTCAGAGTCCAAATTATCCGCCAGTTTACCAGTCACCTACGTCGCGAGTCTCAAACACGTCCACCAAACCTCTGGACACGAAAAAATGGAAGACGATCTGCGGAGAATTCTGAAGCTTGATGTGAACCCAGGCCTGCCGTCCAGCGGTATTCAGAGTTCATATGCGTAATGTCATATCCCTTCTTTTTCTTTCCTCGTTTACGCTTTCTTGCATTCTGCATTACATTTGTGCATGACAATCGATGCTCCATTTTTCAAGTTTCATTTCCATGCTGAATGACATCTTGTCATGAGCCTTAGGGTTCTTTCGTCTCGTCTAATGTTTTCGGTGGCAGTCTCTCATCGTCTATGGCCAAGATTCTCGGTGTTTTTTCCGCGGTTCACGCTAGCCGTGGTCATTGTTGTAATTGATAAATTGATGGGTTTATTGGTCCTTCAGCGGGACGTCTTTATACCCTTCATTTGCATCGAACGCGGAGTCCGGTTGCCTTTATCAGTGCTCTTTCTCGGGGTGTGTTGCTTTGGGATATTGTTTGGACAACTGATCAGGCACCTCTGATGTCACTCATTTAGCTGTCGGTGCCAATTTTAATCACTTTTTTTTTTTTTATTTCTCCCTGATAGCTTTTTTTATCCTTTTTTATCTGATGCCACACCTGTCTCATATCACATTTACAATGTCTAGTCAAGGGATGACTTTCTCATAGCCTAAACTTTCTTCGTCCATATTTGGTTTTCCTTTCCCCTTATCTTACGTTCAATACGTCACACACCACGTCTATATGACGCCTCTACTCTCGTTCTAACTACCTATGCATTCATTACCGCGAAACTATCCGAAATACCGGTTCATCTTGCTTTTTAGATCATCAAATGACACGCTTTATGCTAACCTCGAACATTACAAGATGGGTGGGAACATCATAAAGTGTAGTCACTGCAAACCCACTTGCAGGGTGGGCTTGGAGATGATCTCACACACTTATACTACCAGCAATTATGTGTGTTCAGAGATGTACCAGGTAGAGATTATCAGATTACAGAAGAGGTACAGGTGACAATCCAGAACTCGATTACAAGGTCGACTGCAAAACGGGTCAAACTATGCAGAGTAGCGCCGGAGACTACCGTGGACGGAGTAGGCACCACTGGTCGTCCCCACCCGGTACAGCAAATTACGACCTCAAAACTAAGAATTCCATTGCCTTCGTGGAGGTTAGTTTAGACAGTCACTCAGGTTTTTCCCGCAATATACTTCTTTATTCTTGAGTCGAAGTGGTAGCCTGCGGCGACAAAGCGCCCTGGCTGCGTTTCTGCACCTTAAATGATACTGCAGGCGAAACTGTTGCCACAGTCAATTCACTGGGGTAAGTATTCCTTACTCATCCGGCATTGTAAAGGGATTGCCAATTGGTATTCAACTAGAACGCCACCGCTTCAGGTACACCTAATACTAAATCACCAATGCACTGTATGTAGATCCACTGTTAGCTTTCGAGCTGTCGAATTTTGTAACTTGCGGCGGTTCCTGTGGATGGGACGATACCGTATGATTATACCACTGTACAGGTAGGTACTATACTTATACTGAAGGTACGCACCATACATAAAAATAGGTGGCACAGGCCTAGTAACTCAAGACGTCTATATTTGGGTAATGAATCGATCTACGGAGTACTCTATATAGTAGCATGAATCTGCAAGTCTCTCTTGGTGTGGTATATACTTAGTACTCCCTGAATTCCGTGAGCAATCGCGAATGGAGCTATTGAAACTTATGGGAGAAAGTATACACTATTATTATATATTTGTATAATGCGCTACTGATAGAACACTTTACTTACCTAATTTTCATAATCAATAAACTCACAAAATCCAACACACACACACACAGAGAGAAGAGAATGTATATCTGGGAGTGAGCATAAGTATGATAGAAAGGGCAATTCGATAAACTCAATGAAAATAAGAAAGTGATTCCAGATCTCACAAGACCACTGGGACAATAACCCGACTAGTCACAGCATGACTTGAGAGTGGGTATTTCGTTCTTAGCTTATGTATAGCCCAATGGATTGGATTTGTCCTGTTATGACTGGGCAAATTGGGATAGTTCCTGTTAACAAAAAGAATATAGAAGTCCATGTACTGGATGGATTGTTATACAGAATTTAGTACAGTACACTGTATATTAACAATACATGTGTACTTCGGTATAGGTACAGAGGTATAATGATGTACTGTATGTATGTACATGTATGTATGTACATAGTTCGGATATTAATTATTTGGATTCTATAAATTACCGTACTACCGTATGTTATGGCTGGAAACGCTCCATCCCTGGTTCCGGTCGCCTTCCAGGGGTCGAGGAACGAATCGTGGATGCCATCGTCGCGCCAACCCACTAACACGCTAATCAAGAGGATCAGGGAAAAGAGGAACAAGAGAAGAAGGACGAATAAGTATAAGATACAGAAGCAGAAACAGAAACAGCCCAGACGTGAAACAAGAAATATCACTATCACTAGTCTGTCTTCAGGATAGTTGAGACCGGTCATTGCCCATTATCACAATCCCATCTCTCCCTTGGATAGAATCTCCCTCCCTCCGTCCCTACCTCCCTCCCTCTCCCTCTTTTTCTTTTTTGCCCTTCTTCTCTTTTTCTCTAAAACCACTTTCTTTCTCTGGCATTTGAACCAGCACCCCATACGCCATTACGAACTTCCCTCACTATCCTTCCGCCTGGTTATCTACTCCTACTTTCGGCCCTCGTACCCTCTGCTGGAAACATTCAACATTGTCACCCTTTCCTCCTGTTCCCGTCCCTTCCCTTACACTCCTGACCACGAACTCCACAATTACCCAATGACCAGTGTTTGGCACTCATAAAAACTCGGGAGGAGTAGATTCTTGTTTGAGATCAGTCTGCCCTCATTTTGCTAAAGTTTTCATCATGGCGAATCCGTGAGTATCTTCGACTCTCCCTCAGAGAGACTCGCCCCCCCGGGTCCAGAGTGAATGCCCGCCTCTGACTCGGCAACAGAATTACTTCGGCATGGCGTTCCTTTTGGCATACAATGACTTCTTATGATCGGCATGCATCCCACGACTCTCCTTATCGAACGGGTAGACATGTTCCTCTCAGCCAGAGTCGCCATGAGCCTCTTACATCGATTGCAACAAGCGCCATTGAGTCGCGACCTGACCTAACGGAAACCTACGAGGATGAGCAGTCCAAAGGCGCAACGACATCTAACGGCTGGGCCGGCTCCCCTACTGGAATTGGCTCCCCTACTCGTCCTTACTCGCCCGGAATGCGATCGCTCTCCTCCCAGAAGCGACGCTCGACCGACCCCGGAGTAGATGGGGCGGCAGAGATCCAAATGCAAAGTTTCCATGATGGCGCACCGCCACCCCCCCCAGTCGCTCATTCATGGAGAAAGATCGAGCGATGGCTAGAGAACAACTACGAGGAGCTTTACGATAATCTCTGCGAAGGTTGTACTCAGAACGATATCAATGAGTTGGAGCATGACTTGGACTGTAGCCTACCGTTGGAGGTTCGGGAATCTTTGATGGCTCATGACGGACAAGAGCGTCCAGGCTTGCCCACTGGTGTGGTTTTTGGTTGTATGCTTCTGGACTGCGAAGAGATAGTCCAGGAATGGAAGAACTGGCGAACTGTCAATGATGAATTCCTCAGCTCATCCGGCATTATCAACACTTCTCCCAAAGCTGCAGCAGGCTCTTCTTCGGTTGCCCCTCCAGCTCCTACCACAGGGTCAAATCCGTTGTGGAGACAGGATCTTCTCGAGCGACAAGACTCTCAGCCCTCCGGTGCCGTTCAGAAAGCGTATGCCCATCCTGCTTGGATTCCTATGGCTCGTGACTGGGGTGGAAATTGTATCGCAATCGATCTTGCACCGGGACCTGCAGGCAAGTGGGGCCAAGTCATTATATTCGGTCGGGATTATGACTGCAAATACGTTGTCGCTCGGTCTTGGGCCTCTTTCCTCGCAGTTATGGCTGATGACCTCTGCAGCGGCAAGGTTTCTGTGGATGAAGAGACGAATGAACTCAAACTATTGGAATTCAAGGCTCAAAATGTTGAGCCTCCCTATATGGAAATTCTACGCTGGCGTACAGATCAGAAGTATGGTCGGAGGCCACCACGTCGCAAGGGCCCTAATGGTCTTGGACTGAATACCGGTAGTAAGTCCGGAAAGGAATCCCCTTATGGGAGCCCAACCCCCAGTGAAGAACGTGGGAGATCTCCTCACCGCTTTCCCAATCGCGGGTCTACTCAAAGTCCCAAGACGCAGTTTGGTATATCCAGCCCTCTTGCTCGCGTCACAGAAGAAGCTCCAAGTCCTGTACACACAAATGCGGATAGCGACATATCAGAGGACGTCGTGAAAAGTGATGATACAAAGAAAGCACAAAGCGAAGATCTGATGGAAGTGTCGACATATGTGGGTAAAGAGGCCGAAGATGTTGTTGACAAAGGTGCTGAGCAAAAACAGCCGGAGACTGAGAAGATGCAGAAGCAGGAGCCGACCCATGGATCTCCTGGCACTGCCTTGGACGCGGAGACCTTGGGCGAAATGAAAAACGTGGCTATCTAAGCCTGATTCGATATTTTTCATTAACCTCTTTTTCATGCTTCCATTTATCCCCATTATGAACATCTTGCTTTATCGCTCGGATAAGTAATATGTTCTCCTTTATTGTCTTGCTTAAACTTCCAAACGCCAATGTCGAACTGATGAATTTTTTGTGGAGACCATGCTGACAGCCTTGTATAAATCCTAACTCTAATATTCTGTGGTTCTTGTGACATTCTTCTACGTTATAGAAGCGTCTTAAGTCTTTTCTTCGCTTGGGATGGTCTCTCGCGGTTTGTTCCACTCGTACTACTTGTAACTTTAGCTCGATATTCATTCAGTATAAGTTTTCTTTCTTTCTTCCTTTCTTTTTTCTTTTTGCGCCATACTTTTCAATGATATAGGTACGGGTGATACGATAAATTGTACTTTGCATTGATAGTAGGGTAATCGTTCGAGGCTTGGCCAGGTTTTCAAAGCTTTAGTACACAACAAGTTTAGTCCTCTCTGGTATCAGCCACAGCAAATGAAAATGCTATGGAATCTGTTCATTTCCATACTTGCAAGCAAGCAAGCTCATACCTATGCGACTACAGTGATTATTATATCTGTTCCACTCGAAATGCGGCTTCCAATGCCTAGTGAAAAGCTGTCTAAATGGTCAAGGGTTGGGAGAACGTGAAACCCACAGCACCTCGTTTCAATTTCAGGACAGCCATTTGTAAAATGTGCACCCAGTGAGCAGCCACAACCAAGCTATATGTCTCAACAAACAAATCCTGGGCCTTATGCTCTAGGCTAGAAGTCCGCGCATATTGTGGCATAAGATCTCGTGAATATAAGGGTTAGACAGCAGTAAATACCCCTTTTCAATCCCAATCGTCGTCGTCGTCGTCGTCGTCGTCGTCCCTGCTATACCGTGCTCCCCCGCTGCGGATGGCCCCTTTTCCATGAGTTCGTCGTTTGCCATTGTTCTCACTTCGTCAACTGCATCAGATATACTGGAATCATCATTATCATCGCTAATCTTTGCCTGTACTAGAACACCTTTCCATAACAGCCTCTTTTCAAGAGTTGCCGTGCTGAAGCTGTCGGTCCCATCACGCCCGCCCAAAGCAAGGCCTTCAAAGCCAACTACACGCTCAGCAGCAATTCCATCTTTAAACCCGATCACACAAGGGAGAACGCGTATCTTCAGCTTTTCCACCACGAACGGAGTATCCCTAACATCGACACGGGCAAATCGCACATCGTAATGCCGTGTTGCTAAAGCCCGCATATGTTCATCCATGGTGTCACAGCGCGCGAAATCAGGGTGTGCAAAATGGATCACACATCGATGCGTATCCGTTGTGAAGTTGAGCAATATCTGGTCATTTTCAAGAGTTGGGTATAGGCTATCTTGGATGATTGTCGTCTGGCCAGGGCCAGGGGCCATTGACCGGTTGTTTTGGGCGGATGCAAGCTCGGCGTTGAGTTGTTCGATACGTCGGGCCCGATAGTCAGAGTCATCTTCGTTCTCCAAGGCCTTCAACAAATCGTCGTCGTCGATCTCATCATCTTGGTCTCTTACGGAGTGTTTGGGCTCAATGTTTTGGGTCATGGCGAAACCCGTGGTGGAATTGCAGAGGGAGATTTTCCGCACGATAATTGCCCAGAGAGATTAATAGAGCGAGTTAGGTCTGTAGAGGACAATAGATAGCGATGCTTTTTCTCTCGTGGCGGGCAGAGGGGTCGTATAGGCTGCTCCGGTTCCGGGGTAAGGTATAAACCCAATGCCGGGGTGGAAGTATTGATATTCAAGGATCCAAAAGGGCGAATCGGCATTTCACTCTTCACTGCATTGCGGGAGTGGCAATGTTGCTAGTTGGATACAAATCAGTGTAAAGATAATTCTCAGGAGGTGCAGTTGTAATTCTTGTGTACTGGTATCGAGTTCTACTGGTACAGTACCAGCTCCCCTTATATCTAAGTAAACTCAATTGAATGGCTAACACCCCTTCTCCCTTTGTGTTTGTTGGGTTTTCTCCTTTCGCTTCTTTTCAATAACAAGAAATGTCAGAAATGGAAATGCATCAGCCTGCGGTGCCCTGCATTGTCTGGTAAATACTAGCAGGTGTGCATTAATTCCATACTTACTGCTTCCGTTGTATTCTCATGTATAGGTACATACATTACATTAGAAGTTGCCGCTTCCGGCCCAGCCAAAAGTCCTTCCTGCCTTTCTTTATTTCTTTCACTTGTCTCCTCAGCCTCTTCGTCTTTCTCTCCACCCCTCTACCTTCCTCCGCCGGCCTGCTTTTCTGTTGTCCCGTTTATGATTTGGATTTGATTCTATTGTCCCCACACTCCTTGTCATCAGTCTTTAGGTACACTTGATAGTCTCCCTTCGCTCTCGAAACCTACCTTTGCGTCGCCACTTCCCGTGCCAACAACGGCTCTACTTCACAGTTTCAGCCTTACCTTGATTTTATTGCCGGTCTTGTCGCCCCATTTCACCGTTATCGTCATAGTCACTCCTGCTTCGGGGTGATCAGTATATTTGAGAATATGGCGGAAGGCAAGAAGACCGATGATTATACAATCGAGATGGATAAAATAGATCAGGGGAGCAAGAATTTCGAAGCTGTTGCGCCGCCTCAGCCCAGAAGTGTCCCTTCCAGTTCGCTCTCCAACAACCCTTTCCTGCCTGTATTGGCGTATTGTGGATCATCAATCTTGATGACTGTCATGAACAAATATGTTCTTTCTGGGTTGGACTTCAATCTCAACTTCTTTCTGCTCTGCGTTCAGGTATGATATCAAGAAGCTGAAGCCACCGCGAACGTAGGTTTCAAATACGGACTTGCACTGACTGCTCGTTTTTCCTGTAACCCAGTCCATTGTTTGTATTATTGCGATCCAAACATGCAAATTTTGCGGTCTTATCACGTACCGTGACTTCAGTGCAGATGAAGCAAAGAAGTGTAAGTACTTTTAAATGCTTATTGTGACACTTATAGAATGAACTAATTTGTATTGTACAATCAGGGTTCCCTATCAGTTTACTTCTTATTGGAATGATTTACACGGGCTCCAAAGCGCTTCAGTTTCTCTCTATCCCAGTATACACTATCTTCAAGAACCTAACGATCATCCTCATTGCCTACGGTGAGGTCCTCTGGTTTGGTGGTTCCGTTACCGGCCTGACCTTGTTCTCTTTCGGGCTCATGGTACTCAGTTCCATCATTGCTGCATGGGCCGACATCAAGCATGCTGTTGAGAGCAGTGGAGATACGAGCGCCCAAGTCTCAACACTTAATTCCGGATACATATGGATGTTGATAAACTGTCTCTGCACATCATCCTATGTCCTAGGAATGCGCAAGAGAATCAAGTTGACCAATTTCAAGGACTTCGATAGTATGTGATCATTCATGGTGATCGTTGGAAGTTTTCCTTTGCTGACTTTCCCCTTAGCTATGTTCTATAATAATCTGTTGTCGATCCCTGTCCTTGTTGTTCTCACAGGTTTGATGGAAGACTGGTCTTCCGTTAACATCAACCGCAACTTCCCTCCAGCCGACCGTAGCAGCATCATGTTTGCGATGATCCTGTCTGGTTTGTCCTCGGTATTTATCTCTTACACCTCAGCGTGGTGTGTTCGCGTGACATCCTCAACCACTTATTCCATGGTTGGAGCACTCAACAAATTGCCCATCGCCCTGTCAGGGTTGATTTTCTTTGATGCTCCGGTGACATTTCCCAGTGTTTCCGCTATTGCTGTAGGCTTCGTCAGTGGAATCGTATATGCGATCGCCAAGATTAAGCAAAACGCCAAACCAAAGACTGGTGTCTTGCCCACTTCCAATCCACTTGTCAGCGCTAGCAGTCAAAGTATGAGGGATTCTCTGCGGTCTTGAAGTGGCAACTGCTATATTACGCGTAGGAGTGTTAACTCCTTTCGAACGTTTTTCATATCGGATCATGTTCGTGGGTCCTTGGCGCCACGAGTCGGTACATTACTTGTACGTTATATGGATACATGCATTTCATTACAGTCTAGGTGTATTCCGGTTGTTGGTGTTCTTTGAGGGCTGACTTGGTGTGCTTATATTCTTCTCGACAACCTACTTAACATGCCTGGTTTCTAACACGTCTGGCCTCATTGCTGCCCATTCACCTATTTATGGCGTTGATGTCCGTGCTGATAATTTCACATATCATTTCTTGATGTGCTAGCAGCGCACTTTGTTGCACGTAACATGTTATAATGCTGGGGCGTGGTTTGTTCTAGATATCATGTGGGAAGAAGCTTGGAGTGTATTCGTTGCGATCTGGGGTGCAATAAGATGTCTAGGAGTCTTGATCATTGTGCGAGAGAAAAGACCCTTTTCTTCCTCCTTTTGGGGTTGGAATCTGTATATATGGACCTTTATCTTCTTTTATTGAGGTTATAGAAAATATCCTTTGCTAAAAGTTCTCTCCAGGGGCAAGCTCGTGCTATTGACTAGCTACAGTGCAGTAGCGGGATACTCTTTGGGGACGATGCAAGCAGAATATCTTGGATGATAACATTACCTCATGAGTTTCTAAGTTCCTCTATCTAGGCTCGTATGTTTTTATGGATGGGATGTGTAATCGCATGGATGGCCTCTCATTGTGAACATGCAACTCCGACCTTGTGCTCTATAAAATCTATGTATCCATGAACCACCATAGGGGAGCCATGGCACTATCATGGGGAACTTGACGTTCGCATAGTGTTTTAAGATACCAGGTGAAGTTGCGAAGGACTTCCCTACAAAGCAAGAGGCGATATTATTTGTTTATTCAATCATTCGTACCCTCTCACCTTGTTCTATATTTTTTCCCTTCCCTCCCCTCCCTCCGTTCAGATCTCCTGTAGTCCGCCTACTCTCTACATTCAAAGTTCAAAACGGACACCAGAACTGAACAACGGCCTTCTGGAAATTATCTAACATACATCCCAGGGAAGCAGAGGCAGTTTCATATGGGTTGTGTTCACTGTATGTAGATCTCCGTTCATTCAGAGCCCTTCCACATGGCTTATAGGTGAGGAAGTTTTAAAATACCTGACACTTTGTGACTTATATCAGGCCCCCTAACACTATCGTTGATACAAGTATCTGCTTGCTATCTACATGGGAAACTGTACAAGGATACATTATTTTAATTGCAACAGTCAAATATATTAAAGAAACTAGTAGTATCTCATGTATTATCCTCGATGGTCTAACGGTCATGATTTCCGCTTGTCATCTCAGATGAGAACAAGCGCGGGAGACCTGGGTTCGACTCCCAGTCGGGGAGAGTTATATTTTTGGTGAGAGTTGAACCTTTTTGAAATTCTCTTACCCTGCAATGTCCTCAAGTTTCCCCCTTCCTGATCTATCGTCAACTTTACCTGCCAGTATAATAACCACCCCAGGATGTATTATATCAGTATCGATCGGAAGGGACGGGCCGGCGCTTTGTAAGGCGCTCTTTAAAATCGTCATAAAATCGAAGATCCTCAGCCAAATCTAACCTCGGTGTGTCTTCAGGGCCTGCAAGCAGCCCCTTCTTGGAACAGATCAAATCAAACGCTCTTCCTAATTTGTGCAGCACAAGCATCAAGTTGGTTATTGTCAATCTCTGCCCGCCAGGCTATCTTCGACCTCAGTTTACCTTCCAGAAACTAGACAGCATGCCGAAGTCGAAGAGGGCACGATTGCATACTGGCCATGGAGGTGGCAATCCAAAAAAACCTCGTAAAATGCACACCTTCTCCAAGCTTTCGAGCACTATTCCGTCCGCGTCGTCTTCACCTAAGCAGAATGTCGGCAAGAAGAACCCTTCGCGTCAACGGCCGATCATCCCCTTTAGGAAAAATGATCGAATTTTGTTAGTTGGAGAAGGTATGGTGCCCCCCCCTCCTGGATTTCCTTTGAATTTTATCATCATGCCGTACAATCATGTAGTGTTTATACCTCCACAGCTAATGGTCTGCGCAGGTGACTTCTCTTTTGCCCGCTCTTTAGTTGACCAACATTGCTGCAAGAACGTCCTGGCTACATGCTACGATTCTGAAGAAGTATTGTACAGCAAGTACCCCCGGGCTGAACCTAATGTTCGTGGAATTCTTAGTGGCGCCCCCAAGATGAAAGACGATACCTCGGACTCAAGTATCGCTATCGAACTAGAGAGCCAAAACCAAAGTCAAAACCAGGAATGCTATCGTGACGATGATTATGAGAGACACGGAGGAAGGGGAGAAAAAGGACTAGATCAAGACAAACCAAGGCAACGTCGCCGGCCCAATGTCCTTTTCTCAGTCGACGCTCGGAAACTTGGCCACGCCTCTGGAGGAGGGAAAGAAGTACGCTTCGGATTCCCTCGCCGGGAACGTAAACGCCCTGCATGGCAAGAAGCCAAGAGGAGCAGTGGCACCACAACCCTTCCCCCAACCAGAGGTGGACCATGGGACATTATTTGCTTCAATTTTCCCCATGTTGGAGGCTTGTCCACCAATGTAAATCGACAAGTTCGTGCCAACCAAGAACTTTTGGTTTCCTTTTTCAAAGCTTGCGTACCGCTACTGTCGTCTCATCCCGAAACGGGTGACAATGTAAACGAGGATGGGTGGGATTTTAGCACCGAAAGCGGATCTGACTTCGATGGTGAGGATAACGCTGATATGCCGGGCTCGCAAAAAGACATGGCACAAGAGAGCAGAAAACTCCGGAATGAGCCTGGACAGATCATAGTCACACTATTCGAAGGAGAGCCGTACACTCTTTGGAATATCAAGGATCTTGCGCGCCATGCCGGTCTAAGGGTTGTTACTAGCTTTAGGTTTCCGTGGGCATCCTACAGAGGATACTCTCATGCTCGGACCTTGGGCGAAATTGAAGCGAAAAATGGAGGAAGGGGTGGTTGGAGAGGAGAAGATAGAGAAGCTAGAATGTACGTATTTGAGCTAAAGGAAGAGCGCATAGTGCCTACGATGGATTTCCAATCCTCAAAGAGGGATAAAACTTCGAGGAATAAGAGATCAAGAGCATCGACTAGTGATGATAGTGACTGAGAGGCCAGAGAAACTGAAATTTCTTATTTCCATGCAGTCTGCGGTTCATCCCCGAAATGAGAGCGAATGAAAGAAAAGGACGAGAATCGGGTCCGTGGCTACATGATGTAAACCTTTTTTAATTCATTCTCATCAAAAACTTCGCCGGTTGTAGGGTCCTTGACCTTGCCAACTTCAACGCAACCAACTTTCTTACTCATTTCTAACAAGCGCTGTTGGCCATAAATTCGACCATTTGGTAGAACAATCGGATCAGTCTCAACATAACTTTTGGTATGGTGGGCGTAGGGCATGTTGCGCGCAAGCTCATGTAACTCAGTTGAGCATATGGGACAGACTGTCGTCGTAGTGGACAGAGAATTAGAGCTTGAAGACGTATAAGCCGAATGGCAAGATGGTGTCTTGAGAGCTGATAGCCCGGCAGACAGAGCAATGTGTAGTAAGGGGCGCGACGGCAGTGATAGGAGTTCATGGTGAGTGCGAACAAAGAGGTCAGAAAGGTAACTCCACCGATCAGGCGCGTACATCGACTGGTCATACGTTATTAGAGTCTATGAAGAAACTGATCTAGGAAATGATATAATACCTTATACGGCTCGGCAATCGTGTCCCGGGGGAAAGCTAGAAGGCCTGCCGCCCGATGAATTTCTGCTGATTGCGATTCAATATAAGGACTAAGGAATCTTTTTGCGTGCACCATAGCTTCAACAAGCTTCCCTTTGTCACCAGTCCTTACCATTTCGATATATTGCTGCAAACGTAGCTCAAACTCCAAATTATGCTGCAATCGAATGTCAGTAGGTCAGTTCGCAACTTATGTGAACCCAGACACAAACCTGGCTCTTCTTTAGCGCTGCTTTATTTTCATTGCACCATTGCAGAGCGTCCTTAGATTCCCCACGACGCAAGCTTTCAGCAACCCGCTGGCACTGGATGAAAACATTGAGATCTACGAGATCCTCGACCTCCTTCTCATGGGCCAATTGCCGGGCACTTTCCGTATAGCCCGACCGCAGCATATAGTCTGCCACAAGTCTATCTAGCCGGACTCTCGACCACTGATCATACTTGACATCTGCCAAACTATGTATGTGATGAAGGTTTTCCAGATGCTGTATACGCTTTTTTGACTGGCCATGAATATTTTTCTCTTCCTGATGCAAATTCTCCATCTTTCGCTTGAGGCCTTGCATCCTGGATATCATAGCATCTAGAGCAGCGAGCGTTTGATCTGGTGTTTGATCATTGCACCGCGAGACACTGGCAGTTGCTTTCAGTGAGGGGATAATATACTCCCTTTCCCGTTCCACAATCCGCTGAACTGATTTGAAATTCTTTCGTGCAAGTTCGTGAGGTAGTCGTAGGAGGGGTTGGTCCTACGAGGGAGAAGGGAGTCAATATATAATTTGAACCCAAACCTGATGATATTGGGTAGGCATTACCAAAAGCAGATGATTCTCCGCGTTTAGCTTTGTTGACGTGAGCTCCGCAGCCATGATTGTCGTAGATTCCTTAGGTAACCGATCCCTCATCGACACATGGAGTAGAAGGTGAGATATCAATCAGCAGTACGTGTCGTATGTACCGTGGACCTGGGTAGGAGGGGGAAGTGGCACGTACATGGAAGACCCGGCACCAAGGTCACGATACCTTGGTCTCAGCCACTTGACCAATCGGCTTTTAGACATCCTACACCACAACAAGACCTACGAGTAACAAGTATTACTCTCATGATGCCATTCTCCTTCTTGTCTTTTCCCTAGAAAGATCTTGGAACACGTTTCCTAACCGAGCGAAACTATTATTCAATAGAAAATCACTAAAACAAAACAAAACAATGGATGTTGATTTCCCTTTTCAACCCAAGACTCCGATAAAAGAAAAACATGTATGATACAGGAATCATGCCCAGGTGATGCCCCGATAACGATTTAGAGACAGGTGAAGTTGGAATCTCCCAGACAGGAAGACTAAGTTATCGGAAGCAACCAAGGGACTTCCTGGGAAGCCTTAATCGCTGTCATCACTCTCCTCCTTCTCCTGCTTGGACTTTCGTCTCTCTTTCTTCTCCTTCTTCTCCTTCTTCTTGCGCTTGCGCTCAGCTCGCTCCTCGGGAGTCTCTCCCTCATGTCGCTTACGTTTCTTTTTCTCGTCCTCCTTGGACTCATCAACCTCCATCTCATTTGGGGGCGACGAGGGAGCTTCGGCCTGCTCAGATGTAGAAACAGCCATCTCGCTCTTAGGTGCTGGCTCAACTGCCAATTGCTCGGAGGCCTCTGGCGCGCTGTAATCTTTATAATCATTTTTCCACTTGGCAGGTGTCGCTTCATTGGCTCGACCATACTTCTGCATCAGGCTATCAGTGGCAACTCAAAACACAAAGCAAAGTAAAGGGGCGGAAGGTAGAAAGCGTACATCTAATTTCCCAGCCGATTTAAGCTTCTTCTTCTCCAGAGCGACAGGGCCCAGACCCCATCTCCGTGGGTAAAGATCGCGTTCCATGATACAACGCTTAACCTTGGCAACAACTCCGTGGTCACAGGTGGACAGCTCCACGGTCGACATCTGAGCAATGGCTATGGCAATGGCCTCACCCTTGGTAGTCATAAGTACAACTTCTTCGTTGACATCAATTCCAGCCTCTATCTCACGTTAATCATCACTCTTCTGGGAAGTCATATGGCACCATATGAATGCGGTAAGAGCGGATGGAAACATACCAAATCTCAGAAGACCGGGGATCATGAGCTTGGCACCGTAGCATACGGCATTCACAGCGCTGTCCTTAACAACAATACGCTTGTAAGTTGTGAGTAGGGTCTCAAGAGGCTTGATGACTTTACGCAGATACGACTCATCACGCTGGTTGTCATACATCCACTGAGCGTCGAGCACATCGTGTAAAGTCACCAAACCACTGTTTTCATCCATAGCTCCACTTCTTACACGTCTGAGCTCTTGCATATGCGCTCCAACACCGAGCAGGAGGCCCAAATGAACACAAAGAGTTCGAATGTATGTTCCTGCCTCGCAACTGACCCAAAAGACACCAAGATGCCGATCATTGTCGAATTCGTAAAGTTTACTCTCGTGTATCGTCCTGATACGGAGCTGACGCTTGACAGCAGAGATCAGTGGAGGTCTCTGGAAAAGTGCACCGGTCAACGTTTCAAGAGCTCTTCTGAACTGCGCCTCACCACCCGGGATCTTGTCGTGCAGGCGGATCACGCAGACGTATTCTTTTCCTGCACCCTGCTGCGATTTAACCAGACGAGTGGCACGGTCAATACAAACAATTAAACAACCGGTGACCTTTGGGTCAAGAGTTCCGCTGTGTCCGGTTTTTTCTGCCCTGATAAAAAATAAAACCAAGGGATTTAGCAACTTGTCCTTTGTTTTGGCCTTGGTGGTATTACCTCAAAATCCGCTTCATCCAAGCAACCACTTCATGACTGGATGGGTTAGATGGCTTGTCGAGGTTGATCACGCCAGAATTGATATACGACTTCAAGTCACGTTTCAGAGGAGAACAACCGGCGGGAATTGGCGTGAAATGACCAGTCCTGACGAGGACTGTAAAAGTACAGTCAGTTAAAGTTACTCACTTGAGCAAGATATGAAACCATCAAAGCCAGAATACCAATGAGCTCTGCAAGAATACAGGTAAGATGCGCACGTACGTTTGTCATAATTCTTCAGTAAAAGTGGCCAGTCAGATGTCGAAATGTTGGAAGCGCCAGCCTCTGGCTTGATTGTATAGTCGATCTCTTCCTTAGCCAATGCGACCGCCATTTTGAACAGGCTTGCTCCGAGCGTGCAGAGTAGCCAAGTAAGAGTGCGCGCAGGTTGGAAAAGAACGCAGGAAAAATTGCACCTACCGAGCTAAAGTTTTGGGGGCGCTAGCGAGAAAGCAGTAATGGGAAATTTTGAAGTGCGGCGACCAGTCTAATGACAAAATAGGCTAGCGCAAATCCCCTTACCAATTGAATAGACATCCCGTGACTTGAATAGCAACCGATCCACAGCTACGAAAAACTCTGAAGTCCTTGTTGCAATCGACGATTGCTGCCGACTAAGGTATTTTATCTAATTACAGTGTCTCTAAATGCCCAAACTATTCACCTTATACTTCGGCGCCGAGGCTATCATTATCAAATTATAGTACAACTAAGACAGTCGTTTTAGCCTCCGCCCAGTCTTCTGCCTGGTCCTCTACTGCTCCAAGGGCTCTGAAAAGAGCCCCGGCCTTCTTCGGGGTTCGGACGGTAAGCTGTTCCATAGGCCCGGTGCTGACTGGGGGTATGGGCGCTAAAGATTCTCCGCACAACAGTCGGCGTGATGATGTAGTTCCTACCACCTCCAAAAGTCGGATATATGCGTGAGAAGAAATCATACATGTGTGCCGCGACTATTCCCATGCTCTCACTGAATGCTGCATGCCACCCGCTAAGCACAAGCGTCCAGGTGAGCATCGCCCATGGTAGGAATTCAACAGGCAGTTGGACCACGAAAAAGGAGGCTTTTCTACCTTGGTTGTCCTGGGCGAAGGTGTAGACAAATGCGATTATTAGTGCTGCCGAGGGTTAGTGTGTAAAATTATGCTGGATGCTGCAGCGACCTCACCATGGGTGAAAATTACATCATCTAATAGGCAACCTGCGGTGAGCTTTTAACTTGTCAGCACAGGGGGAAGGCTACTCGACGAAGTGAACGGATAAAGGCATATTTGTTTTGCTAAGACATAGAATAGAATTCTGATATGTAGGGCACCATAACCACCTACGTGAATAGAGTTTAATCACGTAGGTTATCTCAAAGGCCGTCCCACCATACCTGCAACGCATGCAGCCCTAAATGATAATGCGAATGTGGTACTGTATGAGATGCAGGGGTAATCTTCCTCACTTCCAGGAACCGCTTCAGCTAGATGAAGGCTGGGCGGGCAGATATGCGAGGTAATAAAGGCAGAAAAGGTAGGGTTGCCAAGACACTGAGAAACGAAGCTTTCCCATAACTTACCGTAATAACAGTGGCTACAAAGAACACGTACGTGAAGAAGTCACCCGGTAAGTTGAACCGCGGTGATGACGCCTCCAAAGCGCTGCCATACTTGAACACTACTGCATGTTAGTGGCGCGGTTAGACCAGGCCATCACAGATTCGTACTGAAGTAGAGATCAAGTATAAAGTCAAGGCGAGGCCCTGTCAAAAAGAATGACGAGAATAACCTCCATGCCTCAGGAAGTAGCTTGAAGACTAGCTCCGGACGGAATATCACATATCTACCACTTAGTAGACCGCCATAGACAAGGGCAGACTGAACGAAAGTAAGCGTAACTAAAGTCCTGGTATTTCAAGAATCAGTCATTTGATCAAGGGGTTGGCAGCTTGATAGTGATGTAGGATGAGTACCTTGTCACAGGCGGCACAGACCAAAAACGATCCATTGCATCTATGTGAGTATAAGAAATTGAATAGTTAAGATGAATCAAGAATAAACAAGACACGTTGCAAACATCATGCAGTGCCTGACTTAGATCACCTTGGTTGTTCGAAAGTTAAGGAAAGGAGGAGGAATATGTTGTGGGAGACAAAATATAAAAGCCATCCACTAGTGCAATTTTTGCGGCAGTACCTTTTTCCGGTATCGGTCAGAGAAATCTTTTTAACTTATGGAGTAATATCGTACGCAGTCTTTTACACTCTTTTGTATTGTATCCATGGATTTGAGCGTTTCTTGCAGAATCATTGTTAATTGGTATTAAATATAATACCAGCCATGATACTCTTTCATCTAAGATATATATATTCTCTCTCCTGCAGTTAACAGCTAAAATATTAGAAACCAAGGTATTACTAGAAAAGACAAATATGTATATAATACATAATTTTTTGACGCTTTTTCTTATTGAAATATAGTTATGATATCTATATGATAGTATCGTTGCTGCGGTGGGCTTATTCCACTCAACAAGGCTTCCAGCTCTTGCCACCTGGCAGTGTTGTCTACGACGTCATGTCTGCTTGAGGTCTCAGAAGGAAGATTGAGCCATGCGGATCAAGATGAGATGGTTCGGGACTGTGGACTCGTTTATTGTCTCATTTAAATTCTGTTTGAATGAGGCTTTAGAAATTATCGAGCTCGCAGTGCAGCCTTATAGTTATTTCATTTGACAGTGGGCATTCCGAATGGTTGGGCGATGACTACTATAACTAGTTAATAGTTGGTTGGAGGTGTACAATTATGAATCGATCGCAGGAGTCTTATTCTGATATTTGCTGCGTGAAAGCTGCCCTGACTAGATTACTAGTTTAGAGAACAACTTTGTATTTACCCAAATAAAGCAACCTCGGTTCCTAGAGCCACGTCGCAGAGTAGGCCGTCTTTGAGACCTAGTCCCGACCATGAACTAAATCTACTGCATGAAATTTCGCATCAATGATGACTTTCCATGGCTCCTCTATAAAGTTGGTTTTAAAATGATGATCATATCAACAATCTAATGATGAATGAATGGTTTAGGCTGCATAGTTGTAGAAGAGATCAAGGTCGTAGCATGGCGGCCGAACTTATATACTAGTGCTTTGCTTCAAGTCGTGGATTCCATCTCCTGGAAGCATGAATACTGAGTTCCTTACCCAAGGGGATGCACACTAGCTTGTGCCGGGAAACTGTATATCGAGACAGTGCTCGTGGTGATATAGAGACGTGAAGCCCATTCCTTACACTGTGCTTGTAAAAGCAGTACCGCGTACTGCCAGGCCTCCGTTCTTTCCTTCAATCCATACGTCCCATACTGCATTGTCCTTTCCAGACTTTGGCTTGCCACAGATGGTTAGAGGCTCATCAACATAAAGAGGAGCCAAATTTCGATAGTCAAGTTCCCTGATGATCTGGTTTGATTTGGCGAGATGTGTTTCAAGGACAGCGAGCAACAATGTCAGAGTCAACGGCCCATGCACTAGCAGGTTCCGGAAACCTTCTATATTCTGAGTATAAGCTTCATCCAGGTGAATGGAATGAGCATTGAACGTGAGAGCAGAGAAGCGAAACAGCAATGACCTTGTCGGCTTGATTTGAAGGCGATATTCGGGGCTAGAAGGAGCTTGAGATAAACAAAAGAAAATAGGAGTCAGCATGTACGTTTTAGGCGTGTTGGATGAACTTGCGCACGTTTTATAACTCGTTGAAAGTTATTAAAATTCATCTTGTCATAATTCAGTTCACCTTGTGTTTTCTTCCGCATAAAAGCCAGATTCCTATTTTCAATGACCAAAGCATGGCCAGCTTCGTCTCCAGTCTCTTTCCCTACCCGCTCTCTGATACTGCCCTCCCCCTCCCCCTCTTGTACCACGCCCATTCGCCTCTCTATTTTAACTATCACTTTCTCCGCTCCTTCATGTCCCTTGACTATCACGTCACGAATTGTTTCGATACAGACAGCTCGAGCGCCATTAAGAAGTAGACCTCTTGTGACGGGAAACCTGACACTTCCACCCGCCCATAGACGTCTTTCAAAAGGTTCACCGGGACTATGTAAGACATCAGTACCATCTGGTAGTAACTGTGATAGTGTAACCTGCGGAGGAAAATAAGCCAAGTGATGGCCGGCCGGCATACGAAATGCACGAGTGACCGAGGGGAGGGCCGTATGAATATGCGACGATACAAGAGGCCCCGGAAGAAGGTCAGCTAATGTCAAGCTCAGGAGATGGGAAGGTTGGGTATGTAGATAATCAAAGGTCAAAGGGAGTATCCGTGATGTTAATTCGCGGTGCAAACGATCGCAAAGTGACGAGTATGTTCGCAAAGCGATTGCCGATCTTCTTCCCCCCAGTGGGAGTAAGATGTTCCTCTTCATTCAGAAAATGGGGCTTATAATGATAACAAGGCTTTCTTCTGGGGTTTAGCAGCAATAGGAATAGGGAATGGCATGGGACCATTGCAATGTGATGGAAGAAGCTCGCTAATTAAACAATAACCAATATTGAGTATGTTGTTTGACTTGTTTGCTTCAAATACGTTCCCCACATATATCTTGCACTCGGAGATGTCTCTCGGCTCAAGCAAGTACAGCGGAATATCCTCACTCTCTCCCTGGTCCCATAAATTCCAACAGCTATGGAGAATGTTACTGTGACATTCCTGGGACCTGCTGCATCCTTTTCACACCAGGTCAGGATACTAAGCCCAAAAAATCCAATATCATTAATCGGAATTCTAGGCTGCTGTTGAATTCTTTGGGAGATCTGCTGAATTGTTACCTTGTGTATCATTCACGGACGCTTTCGCCGCAGTACAACAGGGTGAAGCAGATTTTGCTATCATTCCTTGTGAAAACTCGACTAACGGCTCAGTCGTTCAGACTCTTGACCTCCTGGCAGACCCCAAAGGCCTTTACGAGGACGTCGAGGTATGCGGCGTGCATTATTTGACAGTGCACCATTGCCTTTTAGCCCGAAGAGGTGTATTCTCTAGTCAACAGGATTATGGTTCTGTAGCTAAGCTTTACACCCACCCGCAAGCTTGGGGCCAATGTGAAAGATTCCTTGGAAAATACTTTAGAGGCATTGAAAGGCAGGATGTCTCATCAACTTCCAAGGCTGGGGAGATTGTTTCAAAAGCAAAAACAGAACAAAGCGCTGCAATAGCTAGCCGTTTTGCTGCTGAGTTCCATGGCCTGGATGTTTTAGAAGAGAATATCGAAGACAAAGCCGATAATACAACACGCTTCCTGGTGCTGAGGAACAAAAACTCGGACCGTACAGCTCCGCGTCCTTTCGGAGACTTGAATAACCGCCACGTGCAAGGAGCATCTGCACCAACAGTAAAGAAGACCTTGATATCGTTCATGGTTCGTCAATATGCCCCTGGGGCATTGGCGGAGGCTTTGTTAATATTCAAGACCCATGGCATGAACCTTACAAGCATCAACTCCCGGCCAAGTCAGAAGAAGAATTGGCAGTATGTCTTCCTGGTTGAGTGCCAGACAGCCGATACTCTAGAGGAAAAAGGCGTGGGAGTTGAGATTCTGAGCTATTTGCGCAATGTTACCGAGACTTGTAGATATTTGGGGACATGGTCTGAGTGATCATGAACAATGTGTTTAGTCGATAATTGCAAGTGCAAACTTGTAAACTTGTGGGTAATCGTGGGTAAAGGCCAGAGAAAAGTAACTTTCTAAAATATATCTAAGTAAATGCACAATACTGAATATACACGCAAATACGGCAAAGTAATCTAGAAGGACAGGTGAGAGTTCCCGCCCTTTTCTCCTTCTCCCCCCATTTTTTCTTTTCTTTTCTTTAGGCATGTATAAAGAGTGCATGTAGGAACAATGAACAGAACTGGACAGTAACACCAAAAAGGCATATTTTTCTGGGATAAATCAATCCTAACTCGCTAGCTCAAATGCCACAGGGTTGATAATTTCTTATGGGTAGCTGCATCGTATTACATCCACCTTCCCTGTGCCAAGTACACCTTGTGTCAACCTAGACCGTATAGGTAACATAAATCTCAATAGTACGGAGCTTGGATGGCCCTGTCAGGTAGCATAGCTGTTAGAAATTACCCAATAAACATTCTTGCTGGAAAGTGTGCGCACGCATACCTTTGAGCAGCTGGACAGAGCTCGGTCCAGGCAGTATGGTCCTTACCAATGAAGCGATGGTTTTACCATCAAAGCTGCCTTCATGCCACAAAGGGCGAGCCGTCAAAAGACCCACTTTGGGGACTTCTGGCCTTTCATCCTCGCTCCCTGCGAGGTCGCTGGACCGTCAATCTGTAGTAATTCGGCGTCAGCAGGCTAGTTAACTAGCGTTGACAACAAACATACCGTCATAAAACTCGTCCTCGTCATCATAGTCGGCAAGCTGTTCGAAATTGACCTTATACCGGAGGATAGCTCCAATACCACCAAAGCCCTTAACAAACTGGTTACCCTCACTAGACTTGTCAGAAACGAACTCCAAAGCCGCACCAAAATCTTTATAGCTCTCTGCAAGCCACTCAAGGAACGAGGACTGATCGACAACTTCCATTTCAGTGTTGGTTTCCTTATCGAGGAACAATTCCCGGTTGTTCTCCTCTTGAGCTTTGGTTGTGTGAATGACAACTTCAGAACCGGTCGAGTCCTTCAAGACCCATCGGGTGACATCCAAGTTCTCGTATACAATAAGTGTCTCCGCTGCGCCAAGTTCCAACGCCTTGAGAGTATCATCGATACCGTAGCAGACTTTCCCGGTGTCTTGGCTAATTTCCTCGAAATACTTGCCAATGAGTTTCTTTTCCTGCACAAACTTCACATTACTCAAAGTTTCCGACGCGAGTTCGATGGCCTGATTGAAACCGTTCTCTCCTCCGTAAGATACATCAACGACTTTGATCACCTTGGATTGCAACCGTTGATCGAACATATCTGACTGGTTGAGGTCGTTCTTGAAGTCGGCAGAACCAGCTAAGATCAAACCCGCAACGTTAATCTTGTCATTGGTTATGTAATTTTGGACGGCCAGCTCAGCAATTTTGCGTACGTAGTTATGGCGCTTCTCTTCACGAAGACGCGCAAAACGCAGCGCTGATTGACCACCACGGCCGTGTTTCTTGGGCAAATCGACGCTCAACTTCTGAAGGACCTCTCTGGTGTTTCCACTAAGCGTGCCAAAAAGTGCACCGTTTCCATCCATAACAATAAAACCGAATTTTTGGTCCGATTCAAGAAGCTCGCTCAGTGCCTCAGTGTGAAATTTGTTGTCACACAGGTAAAGCGACGTATTGATAGGCTTGAATGGCTCGAAGTCGATGTTTATCTTACGCTCCTTTCCCTCAGAGGTGATAATCTCACCGCAGTAGACGACAAGGCCATTTGGGGGAACCTTGTTGTAAAGCTTGAGACGCTGCTGCGTGGAAGTGATGGCGGACAGAACAGAAAGGCGATTGACCCGGGATTTGATATTGGAAGCAGTGCCCTACAGGATCTCGGTTAGCGTCTCTCTCTTCCAAAATGGAATTAACCAAAACTCTTACAAATTCTTCAGCCAGCATTTTTGCCGCCCTAGATACCTGATCCTTGGGAGCTGAAGTGTGTAGTGTTAGCTGCGATCTGCAATGGTGAGGCCGTGGAAGAACCTACGGATGATAAGAGAGATCATCGAGGTGCCATTTCCTCTGGCGGCCTCCAGACGTTTGATTAGTTTTTTAACCTTCCATATTTCGATGTTCTTCTCCGCTTCATTCGCCTGAGCCGCGCTCATGTTGGGCGACACGACGATATTGAACGACTGGGGGTAGAAAGCCTAACGTGTGTACTTGACCGAAAGTGTCAACTCGTGAGCTCTGTTAAAGATGAAGAATAAAAAGAGTATTGGGGTGAGGGGGGACAAGTGTAAAGACAGCGAGGAAGAAGAAACAAGTAATAAAGTCGGGAACTGAGGGTGATAATTTGCATACCTTGAAGCTAGTTCAATGTGCCGTCCAAATCCAGTAGCGGGGGTGTTTTCAGCAAATTTCATCAGGCACCGTGGGGTGGCAGTGACCATAAGAATAGTTAGCTAACTAGTTACTAGTAGTTGCTGATATAATCATAGATGCAAGCCTGTACTGTACTATTGTTCTCTTAGGTATCGCAGATATGATACACTGTATAGTGTACATACATACTCTGTACATACATACATATTTCTACTGTCTCTGGCCAGTCTGTATTTTATTCTATTTTGTTCTGTGGTTCCCTTCCGCTTTACTTTCTAGCATTCTATTGGCTCTAAAAGTATCATGTCGTAAGTCAACCAATCAAAGCCAATAAAATATAGAGGCGGTACCTACTACTAGTAGTAGTAGCAAGTACAGGTAGCGAAACAACAATACAGCCTTCCGTAGATCCGCTATTTCTTGCTTGCTTTCTTTCTTTCTTTCTTTCTTTCTTTTTTTTTTTAAAAAATAAAGAAAAAGAAAAAAGGGTTGACAGTCCCATGCTTTTACTGGTACATGCATAACAGTAGATACTATACAGAACCCTCCAAAGCACTCACTACTGATGACAGGCTAAAGTGAGCTATGTGTATGTGTAACTATTACTTTTGATATTCTAGTCAACCCTCTGGAGTACTAGAAAAGACTCATTGATACTCAATTCCAGGCACGGAGGCACTTTCATACATTCACTTTTTGGATGTACTGTATGTTTGACATTGCTGGTTTGAAATACATATACATTCACATATTTTCTTATACCTAATACAGTACTATGACTCGATATGTATGTAATACACACACACACACACACACACACACACACACACAAAGTATATAGTAGTACTCTATCCCAGAGATTGTAGGCAGCACTACTCTTACAGTACCTGTATTCATTGACAATCTACTATATACAGAATAACCCATAGTCATCCATTATCGAGTATTGAAAGTTTGTAACTGAACCAATGCTAATAAAACAATTGTACTCCGTTACTTGGGTGAACCATGAGATAAGACATACAACTTCGCTTCTAAGCACGTGTCTAATACTGACTTAGGGGCACTCATCCTAATCTGTATTTTTCTATATTTATTTCTTTGTGTATCTCCTTCAACCCCCTTTATCATCGTCGCCTTGTTGTAATACATCTCAAGACACTTATTAGCGAACTAGGTATCTGTCCTATAGTTTATCTGTGCTTAATTAGCTCTTACCCACTGTTTCCCTAGATAACGGAACTTTTTCACTTATGTAGAGGTGTCTTGGCAGAAAAGAAAGCAGGGATTTTTGTGGTTGCTCTTCTATCATGCTTTCATCCGAATTTGGTTCCGGAGACCTCGCATTCTTGTTACTTTTTGTTTCTTAGTTTCTTTCTCAACACCACCAGCGCCCTCACGTCTACTTACTCCTCCATCCTCCTCCTCTGTTAAGAAATAATAACGATGCCGAGCCCCATAACGCCATTTGAGGACGAAGATATAGGAGGCTCTAGTACGCTTGAGCGTACGACACTTGGTGTCAGGATACCAAGTTCGAATCCTCCAGATTTACCACCAGAACTCGATGTGTTTTCCCGTGGGAATTCCTCAGGGCCGACAGGATATTTAATCGATGCTTATTCTGTCAACAGACCAAGGTGAGCTGTCAAATTTTGAGCTGTCCTAGCTGCAAATATTTACGTCATTCAGGGCAGCATCATTTTCCGCGCGGTTCAGACACGCAGGTGGGGTCAACAGTATTGATAGTTTTGCTCGGTCATGGCAACGAGCTGCAGGATTCCCAGAAATAATTCCTCGCCGTCCCTCGTTTGTGACGGTTGAATCCGACGAAGAATGGGCCGTGCATGACACTGCTACGTCCCAAGACCGTCGGCCATTGCTTGCTGCCGACGGTGAGGAAGATGGTCATGGCCTCGATGACCAAGGTACGCCAAAAGGAATCGCTAGCATTTTCGGATCATCGTTGGATAGGAGCGCCGGAACGTCGTACGGTACCATATCCTCTCGTGTTAGCGAAGCGACACGGCGACACGCCGTACAACTCCACAGGGAGCAAGAAGCCCGCCTTGATGCACCTGCGAGTGAGGATACTGAATCTCTACTCGTCAAGCAAGTACACCATGAAGATGGTACTCGCGAGAGTATTGTTGTTGGCCAGTCGACCGTGCCGCAAACGATCTTCAACTCCGTGAATGTTTTAATCGGCGTTGGACTCTTGAGCCTACCGCTCGCAATGAAGCAGGCTGGCTGGCTGCTTGGTCTAACATTTCTTTCGTTCGCTGCCGCCGTAACTTCTTACACAGCTAAGATCCTTGCTAGGTGCTTAGATGTTGATCGGAGTCTCGTTACCTACGCTGATTTGGCCTACATAAGCTTTGGGAACCATGCACGCTTAGCGACAAGCCTTCTATTCTGTTTGGAACTCATAGGGGCTTGTGTCGCCCTGGTTGTACTTTTTGCTGACAGCCTCCAGGCTCTAATCCCAGGACTGAGTAGTCTCCAGTGGAAACTTATTTGTGGTCTCATGCTTATTCCTTTGAACTTTGTGCCATTGCGACTTCTTAGTGTGACTAGTATCTTAGGTATCATCTCTTGCACATCCAGTACGCCTTAGTCTTTTCCTCCCGAGCATTTTGCATCACAAACTAACCCCCCGAAGTTGTTATGTTAATATGCCTTGATGGGCTCCTCAAACCGAACGGTCCGGGCTCCCTCTACGAACCAGCCAGGACTTCTTTATTCCCAAACAATTGGCGGACCGTACCTCTTAGCTTCGGGTTGATCATGTGTAAGTCTTTTGCAAGTGCTGATCAAGGATCGAGATAAGTTGACTATCAAATCCGTAAAGCACCTTGGGGCGGCCACGGCGTGTTCCCCAATATATATAGAGATATGAGGCACCCGGGCAAGTATGGAAAGAGCCTGTGGGCTACATATATTTTTACGGTACGAGGGTATAGATAAAAAAGAAAATAAAGCAGCAGTATATATCTAACGCATTATACATAACAGTACTCCCTTGATTGCGCAATGGCTATTGTGGGATGGGTGATGTTTGGTGATGAAGTACGTGATGAAGTCACCGCCAACATCCTGCTGACGAATGAATATCCACGCGGAATATCTATTTGCATCATAATCTTTATCGCAATCATTCCAATTACAAAAGTGCCTCTGAAGTAAGCTCATTCCCTCTTTTCTATAAACCCTTTTTCGAGCTCATATTCACTGATGAACACAGCTGTCGACCTCTGGTGGCTACAGTTGAAGTCCTTTGTGGGCTTGGGCCACATGTTGCCTTAGTATCCGAAAACCCCAATAGCATACGGGTAGCCATTCGGCAGTCATTGCAAGCCATTATACGGCTTCTTGTGATTGCGGTCATCGTGCTAATGGCAATCCTCTGCCCATCCTTTGACCGAATCATGGCGCTGATGGGCTCTGCTTTGTGCTTTACCATCTGCATCGTCCTGCCACTTGCATTTTATTTGAAAATATTCGGACAAGAAATCAGTCGACGAGAGTGGATCCTAGACTGGTTTCTTTTACTCATATCAACAGCATTGGCAATTGTTGGAACCGCGTGGGCGTTCTTGCCGGAAAATATGATTTCTGTACAGTAGAGCCTCTCGGTCAGCCTTGCGGTCGTTGTGCATCCCTTTTTCATCGTTTGACGACAATAGCGAAATTGTTTTTCATTTTGCCAGGCCTCAAAACCTCTTTCTTGAACGACACGGGATGGAAGTCATGGCTGTGTTCCCAAAGCTGGAATATCAACTTCGAAGTCTCCTTGCTCTTTTCCAAAACAAACCCCATGCTAGACATTATGTCCCGCAGTCTGCATTCTGTGAGGTATCGCGAGTTTTTGACGCAGGCCACAGGTAAGACTAGAAACAACTTAGGTGTGATGTGGAAGGATGACCCAGACAGGGGTGACTTTCTCAGGAAGGCAACGCATCGCTTCAACATTTCCCCCCTGCCAATGGCATCTGGGACATAATTGAGAACCAGAGATAGGCTAATAATGTGAAACTGATCGGCAGCGTCACGAGGGAGTGACATTTCCATAAAATCTTGTCTTAATATCCCAGGCTCCTGGGAATTCAAATCGATCCTGGTGACATCTAGGGAGTGGTTCATAGAGCAAGCGTTTTTGGTACTGAGAGCACCAACTTCGAGCACCCTAAGCTTAGACGTCGTATCTTGTAACCGCGATAATTGTGGACTTAGCCAGTCGACTAAAACTTTACTTGAGTCTCCACCACGTTCTAGCGACTGTCCGAGTCTGCTAGCAAGTTGATAGCCTTCTAAGCCGCCATTCTCTCGAATTTGGGCATCGATCCTTTCGATTAGAATATTATCGTTGGCTTTTAGAGCCTGTGCCCGGTTTTTGAGAAGTCGATGATGGCCGCGAATAAGATTGCGTGTGGCTTTGGACGATAGGGCTGCATGTTTGGCTCTGACTGTTGGCGGTCGAGTATGTGAAAGGAGCGTAGTCTTTTTCGTCCGAGATCTCCTTGAGGCCATGCTTACAGTTATATATATAAAGAATATGCGACGTTAGCCTCGTAGCTGAACTTTGGAAAAGACGCAGATCTTATTCTCAAGATTCTTCATTAAGTAGGCGATAGGGTTGAAAGCTGCCTTTGTGAACGAGGAGGGTTTCGGCACGGAAGTGAAAGAGGAGCAGTAGGTACTAACAATACAAGCTACCTACAAAAGGAGTATGCAGAGTCCAGACATGAAACAACCTTTCCCAACAACTAGTATGACCTTTCAATGGCCAAGGATTTATTGTGCAAGTCTCAAAGTGGAGATATGTATCCATATTAGGTTTGGCGCAGAATACAACAGCGGGACTAAGGATCAGGTCAGGTGACCCACAGAGCAAAGCCGTAGGGTTTTCGCTAAGCGAGTGCATTCGAAATACTTCGACATTCGACACCGCGACAATCATCACGACAGCGCCGGACGACAGCCATGGCACCTAAGGCGGATAACAAGCAAGGTTGGTAGATTTCGAGCGATTTGCTGTTCCCCCCCAAATTTGCAGGATTGTCGAGTTTGAAACCGCAAGGTTCAGAGAGCATCCTGTGCTCCTTTGCATAGCGGACATTGATATGTGATTGTTCCGCACATAATCCACGAGGGGAATGAAGTCAACAGAGGGCGTGCGTTGTGGATTTTGTCCCCTGTTATTCCCAGCGCAAGCTGCTCTGCTATCCCAAATGAACTCTTCCTAGAAGAGACCATTCGATCACTTTTCGCGGTTTTGCTGATTGGCTATTTCTATAGGCAAGACGAAGCCCAGCGACCGCGCTGGCGCTGCTGCCAAGGCAGTCCTGAAGGGTGTAGGCGTACGTTCCCATCGTTGAACATCAAACGTACCTTTTCATGCTAAGATATTTCGTCAACCAGGCGCACAAGGCTCGCAAGGTCCGCACTTCCACCACCTTCCACCGCCCTAAGACCCTTGAGCTCTCCCGGTCGCCCAAGTACCCCCGCAAGTCGATTCCTCATGCACCTCGTCTCGATTCTCACAAGGTCATTCTCTACCCCCTCAACACCGAGAGCGCGATGAAGAAGATCGAGGAGAACAACACTCTGGTTTTCATCGTGGATGTGAAGGCGAACAAGCGTCAGATTAAACTGGCTCTTAAGAAACTTTATGATGTCGACACTGTGAAGGTCAATACTCTTGTTAGGTATGAAGATCATCTTGGCGCAGAGTGATCAACTCTACTCGAGAATTTTGCCTCTAATAAGTATACAGGCCCGATGGATCCAAGAAAGCCTTCGCTCGGCTAACCCCTGATGTGGATGCTCTGGATATTGCGGCTACCAAGCTTGCCATTGTCTAGATGAATCAATCTTTTATGGGTCTGGTGAACTTTTTTCTTTTAACGCGGTAGCTTATAAGTCCTGGTCATACAGTTAGCTACCCGTGCTGCAACGACGGCTGAATGATCGTTATAAAAGAGGTGTCATTTCAATGCATAATCTGAATCGACCTGGTTAGTGCTGTAGAGAAGTTTTCTTTGTAATCTTATCTAAAGGTGTCTTTACCCAACCGCTCCTTGGAGGCAGAACGGCTTCTGGAGCTTGGTGCATGGGATAGACATTGGGTTCGCCGATCAAGGAACGCGAAATGACACATCCATACGTAGCGAATGTATTGATCATTCCTAGTTATACAGTACAATGCCAATCAGTTGTCATGCTAGCAAAGACACAGGTTGCTTTCGTCTCAAACTTTTGACACCCCCATCACCGAAGTATTGATAATTCCAAGGCACCCTAAGAACCAAGGCTTCCGTTATCAGAACCATAACTTGCTTATTGTGAGCGAAGAGCTTCCAGATGTTTCAAAACAGCAAGATTGGTATCCATCCACCGCTCCACGCAGTTTTGGGCACAAGCCTCTTCAGATTGATCCAAGCGACCGGACGAAATCTTCCCAGTGATACATTTCTTCCAGCAAACGTCGGCGAGGTGATGCACGGCTGATGTATAGTCCATCAGCACATTGAGCCAAACGCAACGAACTCCAAGTTCGGATGGATCATTCACTTACTCTGTTGTATGTTCGACTTCTGAGCCTCGTTGGTTAAAATCTGGTTCAATTCTTTCTTGTCGGCATCGCTGAGCTTGGAAACATCGAGCTGTTGATCCATCCTGATTTCAGAGAAGTGATTCTTGATACTTTGTCGAGTGTAAAATGAGTAACGGGGTAGTATAAGACTGGAGGTATTTCAACTAATGAAGTTGAACTGATGAGGCCCCTAACACCGTATACCAAATTTAGTTCCTTTCCGCATATTCAGAAGGCGGTGCTCTGTGGCAGAAAAGGGATGCAGATCCCAATCCACCTTTTCAACCAAGTAAGCTGAAGCCTGAAGAAACCTCCACCTACCTTCGAAGACGTCTATAAGGGCAACATCTGGCTTATACTTTAGATCCATCCTATCGTTATCATTGATACGCCGAGTATGCCTCCGATCCGAACCTCCCGCAACCGCAAACCACCTCCGGCGGGGTTCGATGACATCGAGGATACACTGCTTGAGTTTAGTAACAAGATGAAAGACGCAGAGAATGCGCCGCATGACGGCAAGAAAAGACATGAGATGCTGTGGCCAATTTTTCAAATAACCCATCAACGTAAGTATACCCTTACTCCTACAGTTTTTGTCGAGTGTGGTTAACTTGTGTGATCTTTTCACAGGCTCCAGATATATCTACGATTTATATTACGAAAAGGAAGCTATATCAAAGCAACTATATGACTGGCTTCTTAAGAACAACTATGCGGATGCTAACTTAATTGCTAAATGGAAGAAGCAAGGTTATGAAAAGGTATTACCCCCGGTTTCTCTCATCTTCTAGGGTGCGTTTGCGTCTGAATGTCTTCCAATACCTGAGTTAGTATTTTACTGACGTTGCGCTTGACCGTAGCTTTGTTGTCTCCGTTGCATTCAAACCAAGGAAACGAATTTTAATGCAACATGTATTTGCCGCGTTCCAAAGGCCCAACTGAAAGAGGATCAAATGATGCAATGCGTTAGTTGTGGATGTCGAGGTTGTGCCAGTAGCGATTAGCATTGATCTGCCGACACTATCCCGGGGGTTCAAGCTTGGGGGCATAAAAAAGGAAAAGAAAAAAAAGTCAGAAATGTTCCCATGCACATGGTTGAAATCGGGATTCACGGTTGGTTTACTCTTACAAAGGCGTCCGGGTTGTATTTGGTTTTTCTACTCCTGCTTATCTGGAATATGCCCCTCTGCGCCCACATCTCCCTTCGACTCTCTATTCAATGTTTCTTCACATATCACTGTTTCACCCGATCGCAAAATGATACCCCCACAAAGAGCTGGGCACCATATTGTGCTCTAGTATCTAGTCAAACGGACACGTACTTAACCGACTAGTCTTTAAAGAAATCCTTTGACAAATGACTACTAAATATAGCTACAACCAACAATAAAGAAGAAATAGGGGGAAGAAATAGCAAACACGTATCAAGGCCTTGTGGGGGTAGACATGGTCAAAATTCAGGCTCGTAAAGCATGGCATTTCATGTACATCTTAGCAAATGTCGTCAAGGTCATAACAAGGTCATCAATTGAAGCCAAAACCGATTCCAGGCCTCACTCCAGCCCAGAACTCCAAAAATATCAACCGCCTAAAATTCTAACAACCCAAAGAGCAAATCCTGTCGAATACAAACTCCAAAATCCAAGAATTAAGACCGGCATTATTATGTGCGCTAAGCAACGGCATAGATTAGATGAGACCATGGTCTTGGAGTGCCATGATGTCGAAACCAAATTCTCGAAAGCATTAAACCTATCCGAGATTCAAAATAATGGCATATTGCTCCGATGATTCAGCTGCGGCCTAGGCACTTGCGATCTGGGTTTCGATGGTTCTTCTTTGCTTCCGCTGCCGATTTTCTGAAACCCTTGCAAAAGGTCAACACCATCTACCTCTCCAGGGCTCTCATCAAAAAGGTGGAATGAGAAAAAGTCATCATGGGTAGCATCTATAAAGCGCCCGGATTCGGGGACTTTCGATGGTGAATCGGGGAAGAGAAGGCCTTTCGTTTTGCTTGAAGACGAAAACGAAGGCAGGCCGATGCGACTGTTCACACTCATAGCGGTGATATCGGCAAGCACGCCGCCGTTTGAGCCACTCGCATCACTCCTTGAACGTTTCGCGGAACGCTTCCCTGGTGAACCATATGCTGGCGTTGAAATGTTATCCGTGGCAGTATCCGCAAATACGTCAAAGGTAGTGTGGAGATTATCATTCGGCGTAAAGGTTTCATCCTGAATGTTAAAGGCCGGGCTCCATGGTAGATCTTCGTCTGTGAGACCGAGATGCTTAATGGGGGAATTGACCATCTGCTGGATTTTCTTGCGGTGGTTTCGAAGATTGGTGTTAGGGGAGACTGACGGTGGGGGTTTTGCAGGCTTCTTAAATTTTATGACAGGGGTAAGGGGGGCGGTAGCATGCTAACATATTCGCTGCGAAGTGGCGAAGAGCCAACGATAAGCCCAGCGTCTTTCAGCGTACCAGAATGACCTGGACTGATATCATGAGAAGAACTTCTAATCCGAGCGATCTCTTCCTCTGCTCGGCCACGCTTGATACGAGGAGGTTCGATATCCAAGTCTGATGTGAGTATGTGTCCGGCTTTGTTTGGTCGCATTGCGGACGACTCCAAAGAAGAAAAATAACCGCTATCATTTATGCCAGCTGACTTCCGCTTTCTAGAGCGAGAAACGACCCCTGTTGACGTAACACCCTGAGATGGAGTAGGCGGGGTTCCCTGGCGGATGAAACGAGGTGGCACAATCGGAGGTGATGAGTGTATAGTCTGCGGCGGAGAAGACCGTGGTGGGAGGGTCTGTGTAGTAGGCCTGCTCACTCCTTCATCACCTGTGTCATCCTGGAGGGCGGGGTCCGAAGCAGGTAGCGTCGCGTCGGAGGACAAATCCACATTCTTCGAAGTCTTCGGTACTATGGGAGGATGGGTAGACGATGGAACTGTCCATGTGGCTGTGGCAGAGCTCTGTGAGTGCGCAAGTTCCCTTTGGGGGGCAGCCGGAAGCGGGATACTAGACATCGTAGCACGTCGTAGAGGTTTGTCTTTTAGGAATTGTGCTTCCATCCCAGGTTCAATGGCCCAGTAGTTGCCTTTCCCTGGGTCATCCTTAGGCCGTTCCTGCTTTATGAATGCCTTGTTCAAACTGAGATTGTGCCGGATGCTATTCTGCCAACCAGGATCACTGTTCTTGTAATATGAGAACGTGTCTGAAATCCACCTGTAGATCTGTGCAAGGGTCAGCCGTCTATTTGATGCGCGTAGAATAGACATCCCAATTAGTGTTGCATAACTATACGGCGGTTTCGTGCCGTCGTCTTCTATAGGGGGCATTTCATGTGGCTCGGGTAAACGCATAGAGATAGTGTCTTCGCGTTTCGGCCTTTTCGCGGGTCGCTCCTTCAATGGAGCCGCGTCCATGAGCGTCCTTTTCAATTGGGTCCTAGAGTGGAATGATGGTTCAGGAAAATCCGCGAAATTATCACTGGGTGGCTCGTCTATGGGCTGACTCTGTTTTGAGGAGAGCCTGTCGGGGTTGACGCTGGGAAATGTCGTGAACAAGGCCGACTGCGGCATCGACGTTGTAGATGTAATGGGATACGCGTATGGATTGGAAGGTGTTTTCTTTGTAGGAGAATCCGTAGGGAATGATGGTGGGACAGGGGCCGTTATGGAGACGAAGCCCAGCTTTCCTCCTCCAGATAACGAAACACCTGACCCTCGACGTGTCTTCGTAGGTGACGGTTTGTGCGTGACAGCGGGTGGCAGGTTCAAGGCATAACCCGTGTCTGTGGCATGCTCGACAGGCTGCAGGGGCAAAGGCAAAGGTGATGGCTCCAGTCGATGACGAGACTTGGCAATTCCTTGCTCAGTAGGTGAAGATGACTTGACAACTGCTGGCGCAGTTGGTGCATGACGGGTGGAGCCCATGATGTCGTCCGATTGAGCGGGTGCGAAAAATGCTAGACGCGTCGGAGAAATCCTTGACACGGGAGTATAGTAGCACCGTCCAGGTAAACGCGACGTCAAGTCGGTCGATGATCAGGGGCAGGGGCAGCAGCGCCCAATGACCAAGTGAATCGTAGTCACCCGGGAGGACAATATTTAGGACAATTCGTGGTGGTATAGAAAAAAAAGGTGGAATGAATAGGGTCTTAGGCTATAGCGCAAAGAAGTGGGTATTTGGGCCACAAAGGCGCTAAGGAGGGCACATCGAGGCCGTGGCTCCAACTGTGAAGAAAAAAGCGGGTATAACTGTCGGGTTTAACTTGATTGTGAGCAGTTCTTGGTGTTATAAAACCCCCCCCTCCCGTTTTTTCTTTTACTTGGAATAGGCTGGGTGTAAGACTGGCGCAGGACTGCTTTACGCCCGACGGTGCTGGGTAGAGAGGTGGGCTCACGCGTGCGCGAAATAGTAGCAAATCTAGAAACGATGATGGGGGACGGGCTGAAGGGGATGTTTAGAGGAGAGGCAGAGAAGAGATAAAGCGGGAAGACGGCCTCACTCTATAATCGAATCAGTTTCTCCCTCGAGGTAAGGCGGGGTGCGCGAGATACGTTAATAACAGCAAAGTTATGTACGATTACTTGGGCTGAGGAATGAGGAGAAAGGAACTTGATGTTGGGTGGTTGTCGCGGCGTCGTTTGGCAGGTAAGTATGTATTGTATGGTTAGGTCGCGTTCGCGTCACGCGTCGAGGTAGGCGAGCAACATCGGAGGAGGGGTGGGGTTTCGGTACTAGTATTGTCATGGGTGACAATACAGAAGCTCCTGTTTCACCATTGGCCAACCTCCTTGCTCCGTTCCGCCACCTGGAACGATTATCGTGTCCAATCACCAAGCGATCCCGGTCGATCATTGGGGCCCTCCCATCAGTTGACGAGGCAAGCATGCCCGGCGGTCCGGCCATCAGACTTAGTGCCAGGTTGTGTACCTTTCTAAACTAAGCCCGATTTTATTAGATCCGTGCTAAGTATTGTCTAGATTCCCACCCCATGCTTCGTGTCTTGATGGAAGGAAAGTTTTGTGATCATACCGCCACCCAGATTTTGTCAAGATCAGCCATCTCAAACGACAAGGTGTAAAGGCTGAAACACCATTCGTCGTCCAGAAATTGGTGGGGTTTCTCGAAGAAAGACTGCACAAGCTTGAGGTGCTTGGATGTGAACAATAATTATTCAAGGCTCGTTGACTTCCATTACTCTTCCTAGTTACCATGTCGACGAAATTATCGACCAGATATCCTGTTTTCCTAGCAGCTGTGCAGAGAGCGAGTGTTAATTTAAATGAGTAAGGGACCCTTACTCACCACTATCCATGAAGTTAGTCCTTTAAAACCGGGATGGTTCATGACCAAGTAATTATTACTTGCGCTAATTGTCTACATGAGTATGGCCTAGGCAAGGGTATGGAAGATTCTCAGGTACCCGTCTTGACCTGCAGTAGTCATGTGTAGGATCTACATATAGCAACATAATTTCGTGCTCCTAGCATGGATAATATTTAAATTACCAATAGTCACTTCTAGTTGACTTTTTGATCGTAATCGTGGGGAGATTAAAGTGCCTGGGCAGCAAACGTGACCTACTTCTGCCAGTAAGGCGTCGGCTTAAAATCAAAGTTGACGACACCCCTGGCATATGAGTAAACGCGTAGATAGCGAAAGTTTTGTCCACATGAGCTTCAATTGATTGTACAGTACATCCCTCCTGCCTAGCCCCCATATAGTATTCGAAATGACAGTTCGGGCTGTAGTTGCCTCTAGTCTCCTCACATTTACCGCTCCAGTGCGAGAACACTTCTAGTTTTAATGGGGGGAAAGCCACATGGTAAATGTAACAAGATTGACTGGAAACACCTCTTTACAAAACACTTGTCATTGATTCAAAACTCCTTGTAACCCTCTATATCCCTGGCTGACAACGAGTATGCTCTAAATCTAGACAAAAAAGACATTCAACGCCTGAAAAGAGAACATAAACAAGTGAGATCTATCCCAGAAACAAAAAAGACGTCAGTGCAGGGGAACTAAGCGTGGAAATCCATATCACACATGGATTCGGAAAAAAAAGAGAGGAAGTTGGGCTCTAGTCAGACTCAATCAGACAACTCCAGCGTTACAACTTTCACATAATCACATAAGACAAGGAACTTTTCGTCATATCGAATAGACTTGCCATGGGTATCCAGAAACCCTCTCTGGCATTGTGCAGAAACCCCTACGAGAAGAGAAAAAGGGGGGAAGCAAGGAGAAGGAGGCGAAGGGGGAAAGAAGGGCGTTTAGTCTAGAAAGGTGAACATGCTCGTGTGGATAATGTTCAGGGCACGATCTGCGTCTCTCTCTTCAATGACGCATGATATATTGATTTCGCTTGCACCTTTAAGAAGAGAAGCAATTAGCTCTTGGTCAACCAAATCCAGTAAAAGGTCGACACCGTTACACTTACCTTGGGAGATCATTTCAATGTTCACATTATTCTCTCCAAGGGTTGTGAACATCCGCCCGGCAACACCAATCATGTTCTTCATTTGTTTACCAACAAGGCTCAAAATAGCCATCTCTGGGATTATATCGACCGTCCCATATTTCTGTAGGTCGCGTAACGCACCCTTCAAGTCCTCGTCAATGATTTGATATTCATCCCTGCCAACCCCGTTGAGAAGAGGCGATTCAGAATGGAGAGCCATGGACACATGCACTTCACTGGTGGATATCAGATCGATTGAGAGCCTCCATCGGTCAAGGACAGAGAAGATGCCAGCAAAGAACCCATGCGACAGGGAGCGTTTGTTGGAGTGGACATTGATCACGAGAATCTTGTGCTTGATAGTTACAGCGGTAGGACGCTTTGGCGTCTGCATCAGACTTGGACTGCGTGTACGGAACAATCTGGGGTCATGCCCTGGGGCTGTCTTTTCCAATTCATAAGTAGAATCAGGGAAAATGATAGTGCCATTTCCTTTCGGGTTCATGACATTCTTTATGCGAATGGGAATTTTCGCGCGAATGACTTGTTCCATGGTGAAAGGATGGATGACCTCTGAGCCATAAAATGTCAGCTCAGCTGCCTCTGCAGGTGTAATTGCCGGAAGAATACGCGCGGTTGGCACTTTGCGGGGATCTGCTGTGAAGATTCCGTCGACTTCCTTCCATACCTGTAGTTCTTTGGCACAAATCCCAACGGCGACTAGAGCGGCGCAAAGATCTGTATACCCCCGCCCTATTTGATCAAGAAGGCCGCCTGGTATAGTCCCAAAGAACCCAGTTACAACTGGAACTCTGCCCTCACAAGCTTGAATTTTCTTACCGAGAGTGCTGGCGAGGTTGTTGTAGAACTCCTGGTCGAGACCCTGGCTTGATATAGTGAAGTCGACGATCTCGGCCAAATCAACATATTCCGAATCTACTCCCCGGTCCTGGAGGAAAGCTGCCATAAGTCGACAACTAAGCTTCTCTCCCGTACTCATGACTTTATCCACGCAGCGGGCACTGATTTCCCCGAGCGTCTGAGCAGCCTCCAAGACCTTCAGAACCTTTTCACATTCATCATTAATCTCGGAAACCAATTGAAGCCTTAGTTCCTTGGAACTAATTTGACTCTCGACTACTTCGACATGTTCCAGACGGACCGCCTCCACAAAGGTGACGTAGTTTTTAGATTCTGCATTCTCTGCATCCCGCGCTGCGCGTAATAGCCTATCAATTGGTTCAAAGTCAGTGTTAATTTCGAATGAAAACAAAGGAATGACAGTTTTTTAGAACTGCGAGGTAGGGCAACACCTAACTGGAGTTCAGAGGTGACTCACCGATTGGTAGTACCTTCAGCTTTTGTAGAGCTACTTCTTGCAGAGCAGACTATTGCCACACTGTGGTCTAAAAGGCTGGGTCTTGTTTCAAGGATGTCAGTAGCAGCTATTTATATGTCTTATTTTGTCGCTTACAGAACAACTTGATCAATGATATTAAGGGCGAACTTGCCCACGCTGGTACCTCCAAACTTTTGTACAACCCAGTTGCTTTTTGAAGAGACTACTTGGTCGCTCTTAGCTGTCGACAATGATTCCAATTTGGATGGAAGCCGAGATTCCATGCTGGAGAGTAACTGTCAACTTAGGCCTTATTCTCAAAAGGCGATGGCACTCCTCACATTACTTGGCTTCAGTAGCGGGATAGCCTTTTTATGTGCACTGGCGGGGGTTGCGAAAGCGGAGCCCCTCTAATGATACGGGGTGGTCACATAATTTTCCCCCTTCTCCGCCTTCCGCATATGGAATACGATATCGGAGTCCACGGTCAATTCTTACTACTCGTCCTCTGTTGGTACACAGAGCTCTTCGTACCTAGATTAGTTACTTACTTCTGCGTAGTACTTTGGAGTGCTTCGTACATCCAAGATACATAGTTAATTACTATAGGTACTTCAGTTCCTTCGTATGTAACTCACAACTCTACAGTACTTTGGGCCATTTTATTTGAAGTAAGTTAGGTACTGCAGGTTATGAGCAATATAGAAGTAAGCATGGGTATACATCACACAAATGATTTTTTGTCTTATGTAACTGTCTCGAGGTTGTAGCACTTAGGGTGTTGAGCGCCATAACATGTGTGAGTCATCTCTTTGACGTACGAAAACCAGGTCTCGAATCCAATAGTGCCGTCCAATACCTAACTACTTCCTACCTATGTAATAATAATACCAAACACGATTGGCTTGCGAAGTACGGAGTATTCCGTCGATACATAGATAGCAACCAATTGAACCCCCAGCTAGATGGATTATCGTTCCACTTTCCATGCAGCACCAATGTACCAGACCTACCTAACAGGCTAACTCACTTAAAAACAGCCCCAGCCCTGGGTCTCCGGAAGTCGGGTAGATAATGATATCTGGTCTTACAGAACATACATACGCAACTAGTGCTCCGAATTA